GGAGGATATTTTGCCATTTGTGGCCTTCATTCACTTTTTTTTTCACTTCAAAAACCAGAATTTTGTAACCTGCATAAACATTTCCATTACATCAAAATCAACAAAATACCTGGAAATAAACTTCACCAAGGAGGTTACCTATTCTCTGCAAACCGAAATGACACAAAGAAATAGAAAGATTTCTTGTGCGCTTGGATTGGAAGAATCAACACTATCAAAATGGCCACACTACCCAAAGCAACCCACAGATCCAGCGCTACCTCCGTCAAAATACTCGTGACATTCGTGACATTCCTCACAGAGCTGGAGCAAACAATTCCAAAATTTATAAGGAACCACAAAAGGCCTTGAACAACCAAAGCAATCTTTTGTAGGTCTCTTTTTTTTTTTCGCTTTCTTCTTTTTGTTCTCTTTCCTTATGGTTTAATGACCAGAGAAGGTCCTTTAACATTTGTTGTAATAGATAACCTTTTTAAAATTGAGGTATAGTTGACGTACAACGTTATGCTAGTTTCAGTTGTATGTATTGGATTAATTGAATTTTTATGACCCTTTTTTACCTCCTCTTGGCTTCTTACCTGTATCACCTTGTTTCATAATTTTTGGTGATTCTAGAATATATGTCTTTAACTTTTCAACCTCTACTTTCACGGGTTAGTGTATACTGAACATGTAGCGTAAGAACCTTACAGACACTGTGCGCAGAGCATCGTCAGTTTTTGTGCTAATGTCATATTTTTTCCCATATAATAAACTTCCACCATAGATTTTTATTATTTTTGCTGTAAGTAGTTATCTTTTTAAAAGGTTTTGGAAATGAGCAGAGTCTTTGGCGTATGTCTTTGTCACACGTGGCAGTCTTCATCCCTTAACGCAGCCGTGGCTTCATTTGGGGCCGCTCTCCTGTCTCAGGAACGGCCTTTATTTGACATTTCTTGTGGCGCAGGGAAGCTTCTGGTTGTCCGACTGAGAGCTTTTATTTTGCCCTCCTTTTAACAGACCCTTGTCGGTGGTGTCCTCTGCCTGCGCCTCAGGCGTGGTGTCACCACCGGCTCTCAGCGCTGCGCTGTGTGCCAGGTGTGTTTGCTCTGTATGTATTGTGCTTGGGATTACGTGAGCTCTTACACTGTCCTTTTACAGTTTCATCAAGTTTGGGAAATCTTCAACTATGTATTCATATAGCCTCCTTCTTCTCGAACACGGTTACCTGTAAAGCATTTTGATTTTGTCTTACAAATTCTTTTTGCTTTTTTTCAGTCCTGTTTCTTGCTCTGCTTCATTTTGGATTATTTTTCATTACTTGTCCTCGGGTTTATTGATACTCTGGTCTTAAGTCTGTCTTGTATAAATTTTTTCTTTCAAGACATTTCACTCTTGAAGTCCCATCTGCTGCTTATTCAGTTTCTCACCGCATCGTCTCTATGTTTTCCTCTCCTTTCCTGAACATGAAGTTTATTTATAGTCTCCAGTTTCGGGTTCTTGCCTGCTGAGTGCATCACCTCTGTCATTTGGGGTTCCATTTCTGCTGATTGCCCCCCCCCAGGTTTGGTGTCATATTTTCCTGCCTCCCAGCTTTGCCATTGGACGCTGAACACTTCTTTATGTCATTGCAGTGTCAGGTATTGTGTTCTCTTGACACATGTGGGACTTGGGACATAATAGCTGAAGTTAAGTCTGTCTAGTGTGAGCAGTATAAGGCCACACGGTCAGCGTGTGCCCTCTTTTGAAAGACCCCCTGCTGGCGGGAAGCGGTCCTTCCCAGGTACTTGGTTGCTGCTCTGAGCCCAGCCGCGTGCCGGGCAGCAGCGTTGTGCTGGTGCACAGTGCCCCTGGGGCTGGGGTACAGTGGAGGGCAGGGCGCGCTGGGTCACAGAGCTGATCTTCTCCCGGTGGACACAGGGAAAAGACAGGAAATCCTGGGAATTCAGATAGCAGCGTGTGCTGGAAGAGATGGGCTGGGTGACTGGGGTCAGGAGGGGTCAGCTCACCACTGGTGTGAACAGGGCCCTTGAGCGTGAAGACTGACTAGCTGGTGACAGGGGATCGACACCCAGACCTGTGGTGGGAGCCCCGAAGACGGGAGCGGAGGGGCGCGGGGGCCAGGACAGAGGAGCGGTGCTTCAGGGCAAAGAGCGCGGGTTTGGAGCTGAGGCGCAAACACTGACAGCTGGTTGGCCGGCCTCCCTGAGCAGGTGATCTTTCTGCTGATTGCTAGAGGGGGTTCTGTCCAGAGCCCTTCAGAGGTTCAGTGGATTCACACTCCGGGGGAGCAAGAGCAGTGGGAGACCTGCAGGCCGGGAGGAAGTGGAGAGTTCGTGCACGGGAGGAATGGGAGGTGTCTTTCCAGGGGCCGCGTGCCCTCACTTACACCTGAACCCCGCCCTGGCTCCTTGCGTCCGGGCAGGCAGTGTGCCGTCCCCTCGGGGTTGTGGGTGTCCTTGGGATTGGAGGGAGGGGGACGGCCTTGCTGCCGGGTGTGACAGTGGAGGAGAAGGAGAGAGTCGCCTCCTCCGTTGACGTGAATGGGCCTGCTGCTCCCAGTCCGACAGCCCTGACCCACCTGTCAGACGTGTCGTCTTGCCAGTCACTTTGGGAACCAGAATGGTCTTATTTTCAGGTGTCCGAGTCATATCTGTGGAAAATCCCAGTGTCTCCCTCGTTCAGAGCTCCTCACCTGGCCTGAGTGGATGACGGGGGCGGTTGCAGGGTCCTGCATCCTCGTGCTTCCGGCTCTTCCGTTCTTGCTGCTCTGTCTGCTTCTCTTTAGTGTCCGGGCAGGGTCCTCACAGGCTGCCCAGGGAGGTGGCTCTCGCTTGTAGGAGGCCCTGGTGTAGGTTTTCCTAGCCCTCCGCTGGGACCTGGCACCAGGCTGCCTGCTGGGGACTGTATGACACCCCCATCCCTGCTCGGCCCCCCCTGTAATTCGGGATCCACTCATCCAGCAGGAACCTTTTCAGGTAGGGTTCTCGTGATGGCACCACCTGGTGCTGGCTATCCCCTGCTCCCGACCCCTGTCCACTGGCGAGGCTCTGACTAGTCCCCACCCTACCCACCTAGGCTTTCCTGTCACAACGTCAGATACCCGTGTCCGTGTGCCCAAACTCCACGGGGCGCGCTCACCCTGGGAAGAGTCTCCTTGCGCTTTGCCTGGCAGTGAAGTGCTTCTGATGCCCAAGCCCGCTCGGGCCGCGGAGGGTGGGGGCGGGTGGTCTTCCCTTGCCCCACCAGGGCGGGGAAGGAGCCCACCCCACGTCCCTCGGGAGCTCTCCTGAGGCCAAGCCCTCTGCAGGCTGTGGGGGCGATGGTGGGAGGTGGCTGCCCTGCTGTGAGCCCTTCTTCACCACGTGGGGTCTGGAGCCCGTGCCCCCAGATGTCAGAGTCCCTTCTGGGCCCCGTCCCCGAGGGACAAGGTGGCGGCTGGGTGGGTGGTGGGATCGGGTTCTGAGACAGGAGAAGATGAGGGAGGAAAAGGAGCTGGTGGGGGGCGAGGCTATCTTCATGTTCTAGACAGTGGCTGCTGCATGGGAGGTAAGGCGGTCTGGGCCCGCGGCATCCTGCCTCGTGGTCCTGGCTCCTGTCCCTCCGTCAGAACGGGTGGTGGCTTACGGGACTCTGAGCACAGAGAGGCCGCGACCCCCACCCTCACAGGGGGCTCCGAGTGGCCACCAGCTCCACCAAGTGCCGTCCGGGCGACTTTGGGGCTCTCGCGCAGGGTAGGGTGCGCCAGGGTGGACACTGGGGTGGGTGTTGTGAGTACTGAGAGGACACTGGGAGTTGAATCGCTCTTTTTCTGAAGTAGGAAAGAAGTTCATTGCCGGTCCTCTTGTGATTATGATGTAACTACCAGAAGGAGAAGAAAAGATGCTTCCAAATAAAGTTCTTGGGGGTCAGAGAAAGTTTCCTGTGTAATTAATGTCGGTTAAAATGTTTTCTTTTCAATGTGTAGGCTTAGCATTTTTTCTAAAAGGCATTTTCCTGAAGAGTTAATAAGAAATCTGTTCTGTTTCCTTTGAAGCAGGGCCAAGACTTCCTTCTGCACTCCCCCCTGGGTTCACAGCCGGAGGCCGGCGGTGGCGGTGGGAGGCTGGCCCTGGGCGCTCAGCCGCTGTCCCCGGCCGGGCTGGGCGCGGGCCCGTCAGATGCGGCATGTGCCTGTGAGGCCTGCAGCGAGCGCAGGTACGGCCCGCGGGGAATGGGACAGCACTTGTTTGAGCCGCTCCCCAGAGTAAGACAGCAGCCTGAGGAAGAGAGGCTCCCGCTTGGTTCCTGCCCGGGGGATGAGGCGGAGGGGGCTCGTCCTCAGAAGGGGAGGGAGGCTCTGAGTGTTTAGAACCTCAAAGACGCCCCTCCCCAGCGGCCGGGCAGAAAGACGGCATCTGCGGGCCGAGTGGGGACTGGGGCCGGTGGGCATCTTGATGCTGACAGTCAGGGAGGTGGAGGGAACTGGGTGGTGTGGACCTTCCTGTGATGCGAGGGGGTCTGGAAGCTCCTGGAGACGAGACCTCAGGGCCTGGACGGCTCGGGCGCAGGGCAGTGCGGGGACACGCCTCTGTCCTCCCTGGGGGTGACAGCAGACCACGCAGCCGCCCAGCACAGGGAGCTGGGTGTGGAGGCCTGGGGTGTTGGGAGAGGTGGGGAGGATGCTGGTTGTGGCCATGAACTCTGACCTCTGTGCTGTCATGCTGCCCCACAGGGACATTTCGGCGGAGACGGAGCGGGAGCCTCAGCAGCTGCAGAACTGCTGGTCAGAAGTGCGCTACATGGTCCGCTGCATTTACCGCCAGGCGGGGACCCCGCTGGCAGATGACCAGGACCAGTCTCTGGTGCCCGACAAGGAGGGGGTGAAGGAGCTCGTGGATAGGTACACGGGGCCCCGGCCCCGGCCCTCCCTCCCCTGTGGCCAGGGGCCTCCCTCTGCTCGGGCTGGGCCTCTCAGGACCCACTGGTGCTCCACTGCGCCAGCTCGGCCCCACGGGCAGTGCGGGCCTTCCGCAGACAGACTGGGTCAAGTGTCGCATTCTCCTTCTACTGGACCGCTCATTACCTGTGTGATAAACTTGAGTGGAAGCGTTTCTGTCATTTGTCAGTGTTGAGACAGTGACACTCCTTTTGGGCACTTGTGCCAGGGGTGGCTCTGGGCACTTCCTCAAGCACTCTTACTTTAGTGGCCCGAGGCGGAGAGGCAGATACGGGTTAGGAGGTGAGAAGCCTGAGGCTCTGCGAGGCGGCACGAGCGGAGAGCTGGCACCGCGGCCTGTTGGCGTGGGTGCTCCTCCCGGAGGAGGGGCTTAGATGTGGCGTCTGTGCTCCTGCAGGTGCTTTGTGCCCAGAGATGTAGAGTCTGAGGTAGGCATAATTTTTATTCTCCCTCATAGTTTGCAGCATCTTTTTTCTCTTTTTTGAAGTGTTCTAAATGAAAGCAATAAATTTGAGCAAGGTGTTCCGTGGGTCGGTTCTCGTCTTGGTCTTTCTCTCACATTTTGAAATCAGCCCCTCTGGGGCCCCATTTGCCACGCAGGGAGTGCATCGTGGAGGTGGGGGGCGGGGCGGGCTGTGGGCTGTACTGACTGGTCGGTGATTCGGGTTTAGCCTGTGAACCTCTGGTGTTATGTGAGGCGGTTTTGGGTGGTGTGCCTTTTCTGGAAGTTAGATTTCCTTGGGACTGTTAGGGAAGAATGTATAACCTGCCCATCAAACCTTTGCAGTTTACGAATGCTTAGAAAGAAGCTGAGTGAAGTGAAAGTTTAAAGAAAACGTTCAGCAAATGCTAATACAGGTGAGGGATGGTACAGCAGAAGCTGTGAAGGTCTGTGTGAACTGTGGGGTCCGGGAACAGCAGCACTCTCATAATGAAACTTGCTTTTAAGAGTGTGAAAAGTTCCACGCCCCTGTTTGAGGTATGCACTTGTTTCTCCTGGTCTCTGTGGCTAAGAACATCCCTTTTTGGGTGTTTGAGTGTCCGTGCACACCAGGAAGGCGCTGTCCGTAGAGCCCGTTTCTAGGAGCCTGCACGGCTGGGCGGTGAGCCGTTGCCCCTCTCCGCGGCCCCCAGCCCTGCCTGCTCTTGCTTTGCACCCCTCCCCCGTCCTCACACACTCACACTGCGTTCCAGCGCACTGGCCCTGGTGCTGTTCCTGCCCCGGGGCCTTGGCGTTTGTGCTCTTCTCTCTCTAGAATGTTCTTTCTTGCCTGGGCTTTCTTTTCCTCCCTTCTGTTATTCACGTCAGTCTTCAGAGTCACTGCCTCAGAGAAGCCACCCTCTCTGAAGCCCGAGGGGCCTCCCCCATCACTCTCGGTCCCCTTACCTCCTCTTGTGTCGCATGACTGCCACCACCTGGAACCACGTGTGCTGTAAGCATCGGGAGGGCAGAAGGTCTGCTTCCCTGGGTTGGTCCCCACTGCGGCTCCGTGTTTGCTGAACGTGTGTGTGGCTGAGCTGCTGCAGCATCTTGGTCATACAACGTTTGCAAAAGTACCATGCGGTTGCTTCACTGAATTCATAAGGTACAGAAATGGACAAAGAAATAAGATAAAATGCATATTTAATTCCACCGTACTGAGAGGACTGAGAAGGGGGCGTCCAGTCTGCTTGTAAGTTTGATTGTCCCTGTGTCATTTGAGTCTTTTGTGACTTTTCTTTAACAGATGAAATGCATTCTGTTTCAGGGACAGTTGTTAACACTAGTAATTAAAATTATGATTATGCTGAGCTGAAAAATGAATGCATCCATCTGAACTGTGCCACCCACAGTGGGAGTCCCATCCGTTCTCGTTGTCTCTCTGGCCACGTTTTGTGTAAGGCCACGCGTGTTCCAGTTTTACTTGACTCGTGTCTTTTGCAGCCTCAGTGGTGTAATTTGAAAGTGGAGCAGGTGATGACCTACGTTCATCTCTTACCCAGAGTGGTGCCTAGAGGGGAAAGTTTCCACTGTGTAAAATCCAGGGGCTGTAGCTTAGTGTATTTTACTTACAACCTGGGTGCTGTGCTCGAGTGGCCCCCCCCCCTGCCGGGACGGGCTGCAGCTGGGTGTGGTAGTCGTGGCTTCAGTGGTCGTGGGGTTCCGTCTGTGGGCTCCCGGAAGTGCACAGTTGAAACAAGTGGCCATGCCAAATACTGCAGAATGTTTTTAAAAGTTGGCTGTCTCCATGTTAGGAAAGAAGTTTGAAAATGATCATTGCTCTTGTGACCTGATTGGGGGCATGTGTTGATATTTTTTCTCTCATCTTCAGCTTACAAATTTTATAACTTTTTTTTTTGGTGGGATAATTTTAAAGAGATATATGGTCTCTAAAGTTTCCTTGGATTATTAAAAACGACAAGCCCATTTGGATTGAATACCAAATTCCTAGGAAGAAGAAAGAGCAGTCTGCTCAGTCCTCCAGGCTAGGTGTCACCTCCTCTGGGTCCTTACTTTTCAGCTGTCTGCGCACAGTGGTGGTCTTCAGCCCTGGGTTTCAGTAGTTCTGTGGTGGAGGGCATGCGCCCACCAGCCGCCGAGGCTCTGCTGTGCGTGTCCGCCACCTGCTGGCCATGTGCAGCCGGCGACTCTCAGCCCCTGAGCCTGGCCTCAGACCAGGGCTTGACGCGGGGTTTGCCACAGAGCGAGCTCTCAGCAGATGCTGGCATTTCTGTCATCTGGCCAATGACTTTGGGGCCCCTCTGTGAGCAGGGCGACTGAGAGAAGACGCGGGTGTTGTTAGGCGCACGGCCGCACAGATGCCCCACGAGGGACCAGGGTGCCCCTCGGTGAGTGGTGACTGTCTCTCTCCTGCGCAGGCTCTGTGAGAGGGACCCCTACCAGCTGTACCAGCGGCTGGAACAGCAGGCCCGAGAGTACGTGCTGGAGATGAAGGTCCGGCTCCTCCGGCAGCTGTCTGCTGCATCCAAAGTGAAGTCGCCATCCGCCCTGCAGGGCCCCCCGCAGGCGCACCAGTTCATCTCCCTTCTCCTTGAGGAGTATGGCGCCCTGTGCCAGGCGGCCCGCACCATCAGCACCTTCCTCGGCACCCTGGTAAGTTGGCCGCGGCCTCCGGGCAGAGGCCTGTGTGTTGCTCTCGGCCCGCCACACCCGCTCCTCCTCCACGGCGCACAGGCCAGCAGAAGGGAGCCTGAGCCTCTCCTCTCCTCCCTCTGACTTTGCTTCTGGAGGAGAGTGTTGAAGGGAGTGCTCTCTGGTGACACGTCGTGCAGATACCGTTTGGGGACCTTGAGGCCTAGGGAGCGAGGCATGGGGACAGTGCAAGGTGAGGACGGTTCACTACTAGGGAGGAGGAGGAGGAACGACTTGTATCCCAAGCTGTTGACTTGCTGTTCCTGGAGAAAGAGGCTTGCATCTGGTAAGGAGCATGGGGAGCGCCTGTAACCCCCGCCCCCGGGCTTTTAGTGATGGATTCACTCAGCAGCCCCACACCGGATTGAGGACAGGTTTATAGAGTCAAGTAAGATGCCCCACCCACCAGGCGTCTCACCGTCCTAACGAAGGAGACAGACCGGTGTTCTCACTGGGTCTCTGGTGACCTCAGAAAAAAAGTGCCCTCAGATGGGTAGAAGCGGCGTGTGTAGTGGAAATGCAGTTCCTGGAAACCAGGGGAGCTGGGGACCGTTCTAGACAGCCCCCGTGCACCTGCCAAATGGAAGGAGGAACATTTGTGCCTTCTTGATTCACTAATCGTCTGAAGCTTTTCATCATCACTTAAATTTTATTGAATGAGACTTCACTGGACTGGTTTTGGGTGCTTTCTTAGTGGTAAAACCTACATTTTGAAACACTAACCAGTGGTTCTGAAGATTTTAAGCATAACGGTCTTTTTGTGATTCTAAAGTTGACAGACCTTGCTAGAAAAATTAACCAATTTTGCAAGTAATTTCAGGGGGTCCACGGCCCCCGTCAAGCATCGCTTCGGCAGAGCACTGCCTTCCCGCAGGCGACTCCCTAAAGCCTTGAGGAGAGCGTCGTCGTGAGAAGGGGGGGGCGTGCAGGTGGAGGGTGGGGGCCTCTGCGCAGGCGGTCCTTGCCTTTCCGGCCTCGCTCCCTCCTCTGGGGCCCCTTGTACACTCCCTCTCCCTACTCTGCTTGTTGAACGTCTGTGTTTCTCGGAAGTCCAAATCCAGGGCCACCTCCTCTGTGACAGCGCCTCCCTGTCTCCCTCCGGCTTGAGCCTGTGCACAGAGCAGTGACGAGAGCTGCTGTTGTGCTGCGGGACGGAGCCCGAGTCCAGGCCCTGGGCCAGCTCGAGTGGCCTAGTGCCTTCCTGAGCTCACAGAAGTGCATTTGAACCGCGCTTCTTGGAGCAAGTGACCAGCAATTCACGTAGAAATGTTTTCTTGTGATTTGAAAAAAAAAGGTCATAAACTCTAAGCACAAAATACAGCTATTTTGATCAGTGATTTATTTCACCTTCTTTGCTCAGAGAGATATACTCACTTTGGTTTCCAGTGGTCCACCAGACCAGATACCCTGAGCTCTTCCTTCCTCCAAGGGAAACCACCGAAATACTGGGTAGCTTAAGCCAAACAAGATAAAATCTTTTAAAACACATTGCTGACATGACAGGAGAGGCAGGGAGCCTGGGAGTGAAGAGCAGATTCAAAGCTGGAATCCTGAGAAGTTCAGGTACTCGGCAGCCAGCATTCCAAAGATGCTTCTAGTCCTGGGAGTTAGGAGGCCCAGGCTGAGCCCAGCATGTAACGCTGGGACTGCAGCCTCTGCGAGGGTGAAGAAGAGGCCCGCCCACTGGAGGGACAGCCAGGGCCTGGGCCCACTGTGACCTCGAGTAGGGAGGGGAGCTCTCTGTGTGCTGTGAAGTCTCCCGGGCCTAGAAGTTACTCTGCAGTGACAAGGATGGCCAGTCCATCAGGCCACGTGCAGGTCACCTCTACCAGCAGTACTGTCGCGACACCCACAGAAACATGGTGATTTCTGTGGACCAGCATCCAGTCCATATAAAAATTTCCCAGTTATCTCAAAAATCTCTGTGTGGTTGGGGTGTTCAAATCAGATTCAACAGTGTTCACAAGTTTACCACATCGTCCTTCCAGACCTCCCCAGTGGTCAGTGCAGTGTAAGAACTGACAGAGCTGAGATTAGCTTCGAAGTCTGTGTCTCAGAGACTCAGCATTTTTGGACCTGGGCGCATTTAAATTTAAAAAGTGAGAGCCCCAAATAGCTTTTTTTAATCTATCAATATTTTTTATGGTGAAATTAAATGGAGAAATTTAAATATATTTATTAAATTGCTTTGAAATTAATAGCCCATTACATAACATAGATAGCATACTTTAAAATAAAAACAGTTTCCAAAACATTTAATAAGGAGAGGGAAATGTTTTACATGTTTGCAAATCTCTGTCGTGTCTGGCTCGGTAGAGGACACATGGACTCTCATATCTGCTTCTGCAGTCAGTCATAGGTTGTTTTGGTTGAAGTTTTTGAAGAAAATTGGGCCTCACACAGAAATGTATTTGGAAAAGGGAGGAACATTTTAGTAGACTTTTCAGATCGCTGTGGATGTTCTTTTTTGAGAGTCCACCAGAGCCCAGGTGTGGCCTCTTTTTTTTTTCCTCAGTTTTAGGGGAAACTAATTAGGTGTATTTATTTATTTTTAATGGAGGCACTGGGGATTGAACCCAGGACCTAGTACATACTAGGCATGTGCTCTGCCACTGAGCTGTGCCCTGCCCCCAGGTGCTTCTTAACAGTTGCAGTGTAGAATCTGAAACTGTGTCGCTGAGCTGTGCGGACCCTGTTCCATCACAGTCCATGGGTGTAGCTCCTAGAGGGTCTGCACACGCATGGTTCTGTAACATCAGTCATCGGTCGTTTGGGAAATCCTGCGTCTTCCTGACGATACGCAGTGTCATGTCTGGCAACATGATGTTCACTGTAAACACTGACCTTTGCCACCACCCTGGTCCTCATCAGAAGGGTCTTTAACGTGGAGAAACTTCAAGGCCAGTGACAGGTGCGGGTTTTCCGAAGTTCTCCTTTTCACGTGAAAGCTCAGATTTTATGATTGGCCAAAGGTAGGGTCGGTTGTTTTCCTTGAAGCAGCAAGTCCACTTGCTGAGCAAACCCTGCCGGCTAAGTCTCTGCGAGGTCGCTTAGTTTCTCTGGGCACGACACCTCTCCTGACTCTGCAGAGCGTGGGACACGTCTGGGCTTAGAAGGGCGTCTTCAGAAGCGGGGAGATGCCTCCCTAGGCTGCTGATCATGGCGTTTGAATCTCCTTCCGCAAGGACAGGAGAGCCTTAGGTACCCTGCTGTTCCTCGGGGTCTGCTGTAGGAGTCGATTCTGCTAAACACCTTCTCTTCCCTCTTCCAAACCCCCACAGCCTCTGCGGGGAAGGTGGGGAGAGTTTAGTGGTTTGGATGGAAAGCCTGGCCCTGTGGTCCGTGAGCCTTTCCTCCTGCCTCCAGCTGGGGCGGCACAGACTCCGCCGTCCCCACACAGGCTCCCCTGTCTTAGCGGCCGCGGCAGCACCCCTCCTGCAGACCCGGGCTCCCCGAACCCTGGGCAGGCTGCTCAGCCTGTGCATGGGCACGCAGCACCGAGTTCAGGGTCATGCTGGGCGCGGGGGGCGCCACACGCGGGAAGCACTAAGAACAGCGTGTGGCCAGCAGGGGGTGCTCCTCACTGCAGGTGTTGGCCCAGCTTGCTTTTGGGTTGGAAAACCAGTATTGGGGTCTGCTTTTCTCCTTGCATGCCTCATCTGGAGGCATGATTTCAGATTTCATAAAAATTCCTGAACATCTTCATCAGTCAGTCTTCATGTGTAGTTAATGTGAACCCCAAAACCCAGAGCCGTAGCCTCATCCCTGCAAGTGCTGTGACGCAGCGCTCAGGGTTGCTCACAGGCTGGCAGGCAGGGACTGCCGACTTGGCCCCACGACTCACGGGGACGACCCGGCGAGGCCTCGGCCCCCCTCTCTCCTCTGGTCCAGGGCCGAGTCTGGCTGCTGCCTTAGCTCCTGCCCATTCTTTGTCATGGACACAAGTCATAAATTGGACCGCCGTCTACTGCTCGTCCCCCAGGGACTCCCGGCAGGCAGGGACCCGCTGCTGTATTTCCTGTGTCCTCGTGCCCGGCACAGTGCCGGGCAGACAGAGTGGTCTCCGCTCAAGGCTGTCGTGTCCTGTACACGCTTTGTCTGTGGCTGTGTCATTATTACAGCATGTTCTGAAGTACTATGCTGGTAATAGGACGGCCTCATCCAGGCCTCAGGCCCAGTTTATTGGTTCCCGGGCCCTGGGCTTCTGCCAGTGCTGAGCAGTGGCTCCAAGAGATGCTGCGTTTGAAACGGGAGTGCTGAAAGTCAGATCTGGGAGGCACTGGTGTTCTTCTGGTAAAACTGCAAGCACTGACAGGACTGAGGGTTTGAGGTTCTCTGCGGGTGTCGTACGTTTCTGGCTGAATCTGTCTTTACGGTTCGTGAGTGTAGACGGGGACTGTAACCAGTGGAGCCAGCGTGCGCTCAGCAGCACCCACAGGTGTTTGTGTTCAGGAGCGGGAGGTGGTCGCTGAACGTACGCTCTCAGCCCCTGTGTCTGCCGGTCGTCAGGTGACAGACAGTGGCGTCTGCACGGGTAAGCCGTTTCCTGGCCTCTCCCAGTGCCCTGGTTCCGGCTCAGCTGGGTCAAGTTGTGAACAGGCGCAGGCCCTGAGCGTGGGGGCTGTGCGCGGTGCGGCGCGGAGCCAGGAGCACTGCGCACGCCGGTCGTCCAGGTGGGGAGGGCCCACCCGGACGCGCGGGGACTCAGCCCGGAGAATGTGTGAGTAGCTTACAGGTGGGGAGTGTGGGTCTGCACGAGTGGTTGTGCAAGGTCTGTGGAACGTGAACGCTGCACTTGGAAAAGGTGAGTGAGCCTTCTGCCCTGGTCACCCAGTGTGGAGGGCAAGTGGGCACCTGTCTTGATGCCCTTCTCATGGCTGGGACCCTCCTGAATGTTTAAAAGTTGTTGTCTGAAGTAACCGATGAGGTTGCATTTATCAGGGAAACGGAAGACCTGGCCTTTCACTGAGTGTCACTAGTGGGGAGGTTACTTGTGTCTCTCAGAATGGGAGATTTCTCAAGACAGGCACGGAAGTGGTTGTCCTTCAGCGTCAAAGGCCGTGTGTGCGTTTACGTTGTTTGGAAGAAGGGCTTTTGATACAGTTTGAAAGCGCGGCTGTGAGAAATGGCCGTCAGGTTTGTGTGCTGGTTTCTCTCTCTGTCTCCCGCCCGGTGCCTGGCCCCCCTTTCTTTTGTGTTGCAGTTTTGCAAGTGGGGCTGGCTGGGCCCAGGTCTGCGTGGTCAGGTGCCCACACTGGGGTGCACTTTGGGCCACACAGTAACAGCTCCTCACGAACGGTGTTCTGGGCCTGGAAGGAGCGGGGCGGGGGGAGGGGCCCTCCTGGGACTTTCTCGGTCTTTAACTAGTGCATCTCCGATTTCCTTACTTAACTAGGAAAACGAGCACCTGCAGAAGTTCCGGGTGACGTGGGAACTGCATAATAAACACCTCTTTGAAGACCTGGTCTTCTCGGAGCCGCTTCTCCAGAGCAGCTTGCCAGCACTGGTGTCGCAGATCAGGTACTCACTCAGTCTTTATCTGCGTGTGTCCTGCTGGGTGACAGTGCGGACCTTTGCCCTGGGTGCAGCAGGTGTGTGCCTGAACACCGCTGCAGGGGCACTCCTCACCAGAAAGTTACCAGCTCAGGGGAAAATATAGTTTGGGTAGAAAGCTCAAAACCCAAAGAGTAACACGATTAAACTTTAAAATAACAAACCCACTAGGATCTAACACCACAGATTTCTCATGAATAAGGAAAAGCTGCCGTAGATGGAGCATTTTACCTGACAAGACTCAGGCTGTGCCAGGTGGCCGTGGTGTGGTCTGTACTGGGGAGATGCGGTGGGGAGGAGGGGAGGGCTCTGGCAGGGGTCTGACGGTGCCTAGGGGCTCCTGGGTGCTGGGGGTAGGGTCAGACAGGCCGTTGTGCCTCTCGGACGTTCCCTCCCTGTTGTGGCTCATGGCTTGGGCTCTTCTTGCCGGCGTAGAGCATCCATGGGGCTTCTTCAGGTGTGTCCAGCGAGTGTTCTGGTACATCACTTGGGGTCGTTAGCCCTGGTGATGGGGACGTAGGTTGTGGCTGGGGCCGTGTTCTCCCAGGTGGCTGCAGTTGGCGGGAGGAGGCTCCCCGGGAGCCCTGGGGTGGTGGCTTGGTTCCCTGTCCGCACACGTGTGAGCGGATTCCCAGCCTGTGGGCGTGTCACGGGAGGACAGACTGCAGTCCTCTTTACTTAAATGTGCGTACTGAGACGTAATGGGGCAGACTCACGAAGAAAGGAAATTATTTCTAAGAAAATAAGCGAATGTTACAGTTAACTTACACACCACTTTTTTTTTCTCTCTCGAAACCCATGTATCAACCCAGTCTTTGTTTTCTGTATTCCTAAATCCTCTTTGAGGGGTCCTAACCCGCCCCACTTCCCAGCCTCACCTCTGGAGAAAGAATAAGGGAAGGAGGATGGGGGTAGAGAGGTCAGAACAAAGCGCTGTGCGGTGTGGCCTGCACTCTGCATGGCTCCTGACCCTTCCCGCATCCCCTGCATTGCAGGGCTGGTGCTTCACACCCTCTTCCCTTCTGCGTCCACTTCCAGGCGTCTGTCACAGTCCACGGTGGGTGCACGAAGACCTGAGTGTCCCAACCGTGACCCTCAGAGAAGAAGGAGTCAGGAGAGTATTCAGTCTTGATATTGGAACACAGAGCACTGTTTTGTCCCCAGTTACGAAGTTCAAATCCACCAGAAGCACTTTTTACAAAAAGACATGCATCTTGTGGGGGGGTCCTTACAGCAAGATCCAGGGTGTACCGCCCTGTTCTTTCTTTTTCTGATGACCCAGTGGGTTTGACGGCTGCTCATCAGACTGGGTGGGTGGGTGGCAGAAACCTGCACTGCAGTGTAAGACTCCATGTTTCTCTGCCCTGGGTCTGGATTTCTCATTCGCATGTTGCTAATGGTCAGTGTCCAGAGGTGAGCAGCTTTCTGGAGTCTCCGTGTCAATCCTGTGCTCAGGCTGCGGTACCGCTCTCAGGAGGGTCGGCGGGGGCAGGCAGAAGCTGGGGTGAAAGCGGGCAGAGCGTCCCCAGGAGGCCGGGGCACCAGAAGGACATGGCCCTCCAAGTTCCCCGCGAGACGCCCTTGTTGGACCCGAGAAGAATTCAGATTTGAGCTTCTCAGTTTACAGATGCCCACTTAACAACTCCTAACAATGCTGTGACAAGGCAAACACAAACGCCATGCCCGACAGCGATGACTGCGCCTGTAGTGCGCAGGATCCGTAGTGGGGAATGTCTCAGCGCTGACCCTTTGTCTCTGCACCTGTATCTTGTTTCTTACAAACTCGAATACAGATACAGAGAACTACACCAAATAAATGTGTAACGGATCAGTGGATTAATGAACTGGTAGTAGACGGCATTCCCTAGCTGCCTCTGGGAGGCAAGTCCGTCTGCGCCCCGCCTCACCCAGAGCCGGCCCGCAGGTGGCCAGCGCGGCAGCGCTGCCCTTCCCTGGCCTTACTCTCTGAGTGGTCGTGTGCGTTTCCAAAGTCTTGCCTGGATTTTTTTATTTGATGTATCTTAAAGAAAATTTTTAATACGAATGATATACCCAAAGGTTTACCTCATTTAAAATAATGGATTTAATTTAGGAAAGTTATTTCTCTTTCTGTTTTTTAACAGCTTTATTGAGAGACAGCTCACATGCCGTGCAATCACTAATTTAAAGTGTATGATTCAGCGGCTGTTGGTATATTATTATTTTTTTAAGTTGTGGTAAAGTATATATAACATAAAACTTGCCAATTTAATCATTTTAAGTGTACAAATTCAATAGCATTAATTACAGTCAGAGTGTTGAGCAACCACTGCCAGCATCTATTTTCAAAACTTATTTGTCACCCCCAGACAGAGACTCTGTCACCATTAAGCATTGACCTCCACTCCCCACCCCCCCTTCCCCATGTCTTTCTAGATTCTTTCATCTGCAGCTCCCTCAGCCCCACCCTTTCCCTTACAATTTACCCGTGAGGGCGCCTGCACCGGCCATCCTGCAGTGATGCCAGGTGTGGTCCTGCAGCGACACCCTCGCAGCGCCGCGCGGGCTGCGGTCTGTGCTGCCTGAGAGTTAGTGGTGGACCCAGAAGCCCCTCTGGACTCTGCTCCCATCCCTGCGGCAAGACCAGGAGCCCGTTTGTCTCCTTATTCATTGTGGTGGCTTTAGTAGTTGCTGTGCAATTTGGTCTGTATTTTAAATATATGTTCATTGCTAAGGGAATCTTAATTGGGCTTGTGAATAAATTTACACAGCGCAAACTGACTTTATTTCATTTTCCTTATCACTTGCACGCTATTTATAATAGACGCTACTCCCCATTATGTGCTGCTGTTTGCAGAGTGAGTGTTGAGATAGAAACTTGTTTGCTGGCCCGCTGATGCCATTTGACCCCAAGGACATTTTCTGGTAGCTCCCTGCTTCCCCTCTGGATTCCACCAGCTTCTCTTGCACGTGGGCCCTGTTCCTGCGGGTTGTGCTCTGAATCCCCTGGCAGAGAAGCCCCAGGCCCCCCGACCGCTTGCTGTCCTTGGGCTCTGAATAGGCTCTGCAGCGTGGCGTGGGGAGGGGCCAGGCTGACGCCGGCGCCCCTTAGCACCCGTTTTGCAGGAGGTCCAGGAGGCATGGTGGCGTCATGTGGAAGGTGGTTTTGCATGAAGAGTGGAAATCAGTCTGCGACGAGCCGGGTTGCAGAAGCAGGGCGTGGGGAGAAAGCCGCTGCCGCGGGGGCTCCTGTGCAGCGAGACACAGGACCGCGCGCTCAGACCTGGGGCGCCCCCTGCTGTGCGGAGCCCGGAGGAGCCTCCCGGAGGCCCTGGATTCTCTGTCGTGAAGAGTTTTGTTTCCTGGGGGCCGAAACAGCTTTAGGAGAGCCATCTTGGTGTTTGAACGAGCCCCCCTCACCCTGTGGGTTGCTGTCAGTTCCTTTCCTGGTTCTGGGCTTCCCCGCACACCTTCTCGGTGACACTGACATCTGCGGGCCCCTCTTTGAAGGGAATCTCACAGGTGGACGCGGTGTAGACAGCTTCAGCAGGCACGACTCTGCTGCGTGATGTGCGTCTTCACGCGGTGGTCACGGGTGGAGGGGGAGCTGTCTACACCCACTGGGAGGTTCTTATTTTAAAATCACTGAGTTGTTTATCTTTATTATCAAGTTACTCGATTGTTATTGCAATAAAATTCTGAAAACAAAAGGGATCATGAAAAGAGGTAGCTACTATGAACAGTTTGGTGGTACTTTCAGATTTCTTCCATTGTCCACGCATCCCTGCCCCGACACACACGTCTTTTAAACTTGGTGACGCTGTCTCATCCTAACAACTCAGCACAGTGCATTTCCACTTCAGAGTGTGTGTAAGTGCATACGTGTGTCCAAGTGTGAATGAGTAGGTGTGATTTAAAGTCTGTCTGGCGTGGTGTCCCCAGTTCCTGGGGCGTGGCTTCCAGTTCTGCATAAACAGCACTGGTTATTAACCCTGCACGTCTCTGTGCTCTTGAGTGACGATACGTGTGGTAAGGATGTTATGAGGTCTTTACTGTCATTATTTTGGTTCACATGTTGACATATATTGGGAAACTGGTTAAATCATGGGAAACTGAACGGTTTCTGAAGATAAGCTAGCTGCCTGTGAGCCCGCCCTCCCCCGCTCTCCGCTTCGTCTCGCACGCCTCCCTCTTCTCCAGAACCCGGGGTGTTCCCCTGTATGTGCGTCTTTTGTTTTCTGTTTGTTTTTTCATTTGGCATCTTTCCGTCTTTCTTTTTTTTTATTTTATTTTATTTATTTATTTATTTATTTATTTATTTATTTATTTATTACATTTTTTATTGATTCATAATCATTTTACAGTGTTGTGTGTTTTTTTTTTTTAAGTGATGAGGTTTTCATTTACTCTGATGGAAGTACTGGGGATTGAACCCAGGACCTTGTGCATGCTAGGCAGGCACTCTACCACTGAGCTACACCCTCCCCCCTCCGTCTTTCTTAAGATAAATAGTATAGCATAAGTAAAACTGTATTTTTTTAATTGAATTGAATTTCCTGTTTTACTTAATTTGAAGACCAGGTCCAAATTTCATGTTTCTCATTGAACGCTTTCTCTGGATCAGTATACCTCAGGAAAGGAAGCAGGTCACAGCCCCGCAGGGAGTGGCTGAATCTCCAGACCCTAGTCTTTTGAGGACAGTGTTGTGCACCCCTCGCTGTGTTTCTGAGGAGCTGTCACTTGTTTGGGCTGCTTCTTTAGGCCAGACGCTGTCCCGGTGCCCAACGTGTGTACCCCTCCTCCCTCCCAGCAGCCCGTCACCGTGGGGGGGGGTGGCAGGCGGAAGCACACCTCTGGTCTCTGGCCCCTGGCCCAGAGCCTCAGGCCCCTCCCTGTGTTGACCGGCCTCTCTCCCCAGGCTGGGAACCACGACCCACGACACCTGCAGCGAGGACGCGTACAGCACCTTGCTGCAGCGCTACCAGCACTCTGAGGAGGAGCTGCGCGGCGTGGCCGAGGAGTGGCTGGAGTGCCAGAAGAGGATCGACGCCTACGTGGACGAGCAGGTGGGTGCGTGCCGTGGGGGTGTGCATGGGGTCTCCGCGCTGCTGCTCTCACTCCATACTGCCCCAGGCACGGCCGCTGTCCCTTGTACAGGCTGCCTCCAGGCTCAGTGCTGCCTGCAGGGGCTTCTGGGCCTTGGGGAGCTGCTGCACCTTGGCATTTCAGGAATTGTTTACTGAACACTCTGCCATCAGAGCCTGGGACACACGGCACGTGTGGCCTTCAGAGCCCATTCTCCATCTGTCCCAACGTCCCAGACACGCACAGACGGCTGTGTCTGCCGGCTGTTTCCAGGGATGGAGAGAGTGGAGAGGGCAGGCGCCCCTGTTGGAGACAGGGCCTGAGGGCAGTGTAGCTGGGCAGCCAGAACTTCGGGGGCACAGAGCAGGGCTTCCAGATGGCACCCCACTGCCTGCCCGGGCCTGCCCCTCTTTCTGAAGCCACTGGGAGGGTCGGGCAGGGGAGACAGCCGGAGCGGGCCTTTTTTAAGATAGAGGGTGTGCGGAGTAATAAGGAGACGGTGACCGAGCTCCGCATTATGCTTTTGAGACTACCGGCAAGCAGGAGCCTGGTTCTGGCTTAAGGTGTGTGCTGGTCCGCTGGGGTCAGTGGTGCCACTCGACAGCGGGCTGCGGCCCCTCTGCCTCACGTCACCATGTGAGTCTGGCGTGAGGCTGGGCGGTAGGAGGGCTCGGGTGTGTTCTCAGTGCTTCCCGGGACCCTGTCTCATCCGGGCGGCTGCAGCAGCCCTCCCCCTGCAGCTCCAGGGGGTCTGCTAACTTGGGAGAATTTTTCTTGCCACAGTCTCGGCACGATGCCGGCTGTAACCTCTCTTGTCAGGGGCAGGGGGCGGGGGGCAGATTCCGGCTTGGTAACGGTACGGAGTTCAGCACTGCTGGGCTCGTCCCAGGCAGGTGGTCCCCAGACTCACAGACCCGCTGGTGCCGTGCGCTCGGCCTCCCCCACGGTCCGCGCGTGGGCCCCGTGTGGCCACCCTGTTCCTGTGACATGCTCCCCTCTACCCTGCGGCCTGAGGAGGGGCAGGCGTGGAGAGCACTGGCTGTTCTGCTTCCTTAGGGATGAGTGTGTAGTGTGTCCATCCGTGTGTCTGTCTGTTTCACAGCCAGAGGCTTGTTCCCCATCTGTGGCTTGTCACTAACACCTCAGCTTAGGCCTCTGTGGGAGCAGGGCTGCTCCACGTTCTCCACTGGCGGCAGCGTAGCAAGCGCTGGAGTGGGGCCAGGTTGCTTGTGCAGCCTCCACGTGGACCTGCAGCCGCTTGACCCCACGAGGCCTTGTGCATCCGGGCAGCTAGCAGCAGAGCCACTCAGAAGCAAAGGAGCAGAACGCCGCCCTCCCCTCTGCTGCCTGCACACATGACAGCCCATTTTTAGCAGTTTGCTGTTCAGGTGGGAGAGGAAGTAGGGCCAGGAGGGGAGAGTGGTGCACGGGGACCAGCTGCAGCGCCTTCTCCGGTACTGGGTGTGAGATCTCGAAGCCAAACCGCATCACCAGTGTGTAAAACGCCCTTGGGGTGTGCTGCTCAGGTCCCGTGGAGGACCCTGAATGGCGTTTGACCCTGGGCTCTGCCCCAGATTCATTGTGAACCTCAGCCAAGCCTTTCCCCCTGTCCTGGACCTTAGTCCCCCACTTATGAAATGACAGAATCAGATTAGATGATGTTTTACTTTTATTTGAGCCTTTTGTATTTTATAATTCTAATACAGTTTTTTCATGTGTTGTTACTAAAAAGCAGAAGAACTACAGTAAATACTCCTTGTGTTGTGAATTGGGCTGTACTGAGCTAGTTAATGGGTCCCCTATAGAGACAATCCCTTGGCAGTGAAGTGTGGTTAATTGAGGATACAGAGGTAAAGGGAGAGGAGGAGAGCTCTGATTGCCTGGGATGCCAGGTCATCGGTTCTCTGTGAAGGAGGGACCCTCAGAAAAAAGTAGAAGACTAGACACCAGCCTCTCTCCCTGGCTAACTCTTGTCACCGGGGCCCAAGCTGATGGTAGAAGAAACCCGATGAGGCATTCTTGCTTCAAAAGGACAAGGAATGTGCGATGCCTTCTCGGGAAGAGAGGCGTGAGAGCCCGCACTGGCCTGGCGACGAGGCTGGGAGGGCCGCAGGAGCACTGCTACTCCTGAGTCGAGGGCAGGGCCGTTGCGGAGGGCAGGGGGTCTGAGGCTGCTTCGTGGGAACCTTTGTGCAGCCTGGAGGCTTGTCTGAAGGCAGCCTCCCTCCCTCCCTGCACCCGGCGATTCCTCCTGCAGGGCTTGGTGCGCCAGCTGGGGAGGACTCCGGCTCATCCCTGACTTTCCGTCGTGTTTTGTCAGTGTAAGCTTCTGGTGGTGTGAAGGATGTGTGGTCTTCTTCGGGTGATTTCAGAACGGTGTTGTAACTAAAATGTTAGTTCGGGTGAGGAGAAGAGAAGGTAAACAATCATGCCCTGAACGCTGCGCTGAGCGCTGCGCTGAGAAATGTAGAGCCTGTAACCTCGTTGCTGCTCACAGTCTCTCTAAGAAATAATGGTGTTACCTGCGTTTACAGATGAGAAGAGACACTGGAGTATGTATTGGCTGCCCCCAGGCCCCTCAGTCAGGGAGGCTGGCCAGGATTTGTACCGGGGGTATCCATGTCCTGCCTTCCTGGGGACCCTGTGTGGTCTTTCTTACTTTACATCATAGGCATGATAGATGTGAATGCAATGCTAGGTTCAGAAATGCCTCCTTCATTTCTCTGACTGAGCTATGACTCAGGATGTAAAGGCCTCAGGACAAGTCCTCAGCAGAGGGTGAGACTGAGACTTCGCTCAGACCAGGACCCCCTGTGTGGGGGCAGGTGGGGCTCAGGTAGGGTGCGCGCTTAGCAGGCACGGAGTCTTGGGTTCAACCCCCAGTACGTTTGTTTAATTAGCTAATTAATAAACCGAATTAGCCCCCTCCCAGCCACCCCCAAAAAGCCCAGACAAACAAAAAAGAAGTCCTTTGGGAACAGTAACTTCTTGTTTTATCTGTTGCCTGAAGTCACACATTTATTTAGGAATATAATACACAGTATTATCACTGCTAGTTGATAAAAATGGGGTGTATGTAAAAATAACAATATGTGTGTTTTCTCCAAAAAGAAAATACAGTCCTTACTTAAAAAGTAAAGCTGAAATTGAATTTCTTTGAAAGTGCATGTCCTTATACTTATAAGTGTTTGCATTAAAAATAAGAAAGATGTCAAACCAAAAACCTAACTTTGCAACTTATATCACTAGGGAGTAGGGGAGCTAAACTAAATCCAAAGCTAGCAGAAGGAGGAAATAATAAAGATCAGAGCAGAGAGAAACAAAAATAGAGAACAGAAAACAGGATAATCAGTGAAACCAGAAATTGGCTCTTTGAGAAGATTAGCAGAATGAATGTGATGAACAGAATAACAGCTTATGAATAAAGTAAGAAAAAAAAAAGACTGAAATTACTAAAATCAGAATGAAGTAACGACATTATTACCAGTTCTACAGAAATAAAAAGGATTACAAGAGAGTACTGTGAACAATTGCACACCAACAGACTGGATAACCTAGATGAAGTGGACAAATTCCTAGAAACATACAACCTAATAAGACTAAATTATGAAGAAACAAATTCCAAATAGGCCCATAACTAGAAAGGAGACTAAGTCAGTATTCAAAAATCTCCCAGCAAATGAGAGTTCGGGACCCAGTGGTTCAGAGGTGAATTCTAACAAACATTTAAAGAAGACTTAGTACCCATCCTTCTCCAACTTTTCTAGGAAATTGAAGAGGAGGACACGTCCTCATTCTTTGAGGCCCTGGATACTAAAGCCAGACCAAGACACTACAAGAAAACTACAGACCAATGTCCTTTGTGAATATCGATGCAAGAATCCTTAACAAAATAGTAGCGAGCAGAAATTCAGCATATTTAAAGGATGTTACACTGTGGCCAATTAGGAATATTCCAGGAATGCAAAGATGGTTCAACATACGAAAATCACTGTAGTATGCCACATCAACAAAAAGGGAAAACCACACAATCACCCCAGTTTACGCAGAAAAAGTGACAAAATACATGACTTTCAAACACTCAACATGACTACATGTTGACTTTCATGACTACAAACACTCAACAGATGGGAGTAGAAGGAAACTGCCTCCACATAGTAAAAGCCACAGATACAGGAGCCCGCAGCAGACGCCATCCTCAGCCGTCCAAGACTAGGGACGGGCAGGGATGCCCGCTTCCACAGCTTCTGTTCAGCACAGGGCTGGGAACTCTAGCCAGAGCACTTAGGCAAGAAAAAGAAATGAAAGGCGTTTAAATGGGAGAAGAAGAGTACAATTGTCTCCGTTTGCAGATGATGTGATCTTATATGTGGAAAATTCTAAACATTCTGCCAAAAAGCTGTTAGAATGAATAAGTGAATTCAGCAAAGTAGCAGGATACAGAGTCCACACACAAGAATTAATTGCATGTGTACATACAAGCAGTGAACAGTCTGAAAAGGAAATTATGAAAACAGTTTTATTTACAATGGCATTGAAAAGAGTAAAATGACTTAGGGATTAATTTACTCGAGGAGGTAGAAGACTGCAGAACATTCAGTTCAGTGAGAACAGCAGAACATTGCTGAAAGGAGGTAAAGAGGACATAAGTAAATGGAAACACGTCCTGTGTTCCTGGATTGGACAGCTTAATATTATGAAAATGTTGCCATTACCCAAGGTGGTAGTTTAGATTCAGTGCAGTCTTGATCAGAATCCCAAAGATGTTTTTTTGCAGGAATAGATAAATACACTCCGAAATTTGTATGGAATCTCTGACCCAGAATAGCCAGAAAAATGCTGAAAAAAAAGAACAAAACTGGAGGACTCACACTTCCTGCTTTCAAAACTTACAGCAAAGCCGCCGTAATCAAAACAGTATGGTGCTGGCTTACAGACAGACATCCAGACCAGTGGAATAGAACACAGAGCCCAGAAATAAACCCTCACATGTAGGTCAGATGAGTTTCGACAAGTGCCAAGATCCTTCAATGGGGGAAGGGCAGTCTTTTCCGCAAGTGGTGTTGGGAAAACTGGACATCCACATGTGAAAGAGTGAAGCTGGACCCTTACCTAATACCACACACAGAAATTTACTCAGAATGGATTGAAGACCTAAAAACATGGAAGACCCTTGAAATAAGGGAAATAAGTGAAAATAAGGCAGACAAAGAAGGACAAATACTGTTAGGACTCCACTCACACAAGGCACTGAGAGCAGGCAGAGCCAGAGACAGCATGGTGGTGGTGCCAGGGCTGAGGGAGGGGGAATGGGGTTGCTGTTCAGTGGGGACAGTGTCAGTTTCACAAGATGAAGAGTTACGGGGAGGGATGGTGGCGACGGCTGCGCAACAGTGGGAATGTGTTTAATGCCACTGAAGTGGCTAAGGTGGTATATCTTGTCTTACGTATATTTTACCACAACAAGAAAATAAAAGGGCATTTTCTGTCTTTCTTTTCGCCATGGAAAATGATCCTCTTCACTAAAGCAACCAAAAGATAACATTCGTACTTTCATCCACCTATCGAGAAATCACAGTGCCATTAATACAGGTTAGGGAAATGGGACAATTTTAGCACCAGTCATTCTAGAATCCTTGGAATGGGTATCAGTCCCTTTAATCAAGTGGCATTTTAGAAATCATACAATAATTCAAGATTTCAAAATGTCGAACGCCTGCAGGATAGCCAGCATTCACAAGTAGGTGTAGGCATAGGGAGACAGGTGGTGCCCTTGAAATCAGTTGTTTCTACCTGCTTTTAAGATCTATCCTTTGTGCGCTGTTTGACGCATACACAGCCTGCAGGTGAACACCTGCTCCACAAAATCTGTCCCGGAGGGCGCGCAGAGAGGGTCAGGAGGATGTTTCTGTTGGCGTTATTTGTCAGACAACTCTGCACTGAGCTCTGGAGTGAGATGAAGAAATGACTACCCTTCTATTTAGCTTATTTTAAATCATTTTTAAAATTTGCAGTAGTAATAGCTACTTGTAAAAGAAAGCACTTTTTAAGAAAAACTGCAGACATATGTAAAGAGAGAATTAGCACCATGTTGTATCTTCCCATACAAACCTGTGGCATATGTCTCTGTTTGAGGTTGTCCCTTTATCCTAGATTATGGTTTTATGGTTTGTACATTTCTTACTGAGTTTATACGTAGGTGTTTTATAGTTTTATGGGCTGTTAGAGTGGCCTCTTAAATGACAGAATGAAGTTTCTTTTTTTGAGGGGGGAGAGGTAATTCGATTTATTTATTTATTTTGGGGGGAGGCACTGGGGACTGAACCCAGGACCGTGTGCAAGCTAAACATGTGCTCTACCATTGAGCTATACCCTCCCCCCAACAGAATAAATCTTCTAAAGAGCTATTGCTGGTGTATGTAGGGAGGCTGAGTTTTACTTTGTGTCCAGTCGTCTCACCAAACTCCCTTATTAACTCTTAACAGTTTTGAAATTGATTGCTGTGATAATCTTCTACGAATAATAGTAGTTTTGCTTTATCCTCTCCAGCACTTGACCTTTGTGTCATCTGTCTGTCCGGGGTTTTGACGTTAGCTAGAGTCCTCAAAGCGCCGTCAAGGGTGTTGCTGGCAGCACCCTTGTTCAGCTCCTGGCTGCTCTGGGGTGCTTCAGACGTTTCACATCAAGTCTGATGCTTACCAGACAAATTTTTGATACTTTTTAGCAAATTAAGTAAATTTCCCCCTTTTTAATAGCTTATTAAAAGGTTATTGTTTTTGTTTTTTGAAAAAAAAAAAAACAGAATTAGACATTGAATTTGTATGGTTTCTTCTTCCTGTATTCCTTCGTGAATTAGATTAGGCTTCCTAATTTTGAGACACCCTTGGCGTTCCCTGGAATTAAACCCTACTAGATTGTGATGCATTATCCTTCAAGCCGTTGTTGGATTCAGTCAGCTGGTATTTTACTTAGGATTTTTATATCTGTATTCTGAGGTATAGTGAGTTTTCACCTCTAAGGTATTGTCTGTTTTGTATAAAGGTTATCCTAGTCTCATAGAATGAATTGAGAAGCTTTCCATGTTTTTTCAGCTTTCAGGAATAGTTCACATTTCCTGTCCTGTAAAGGACCTGACAGAACGCACTGTCAGGCTTTTGGGCCTGATTCGCGTTCGCGTGGAGGAGGAGGGGCAAGGACTATGTCTTTGACTGCCTTTTCAGCTTGCATTACGTTTATGAGCCTGTTTTGGGTTTTCTACTATTGAGTGAGTTTTTCAAATTGACATTTGCCTGGGTAGTGATCCACATCATTTAGATAAAGGCGGGTACAAGCTTGTGCTTACAGGGGAGCTGATGAAAGTGGACGAAGTGATGGCTGCAGGAGAAGCCCCGCATCTGACTTCACACTTAGAGAGCGAACACTGTCTCCCAGAAGGAGGCTGGCAGTGCGCCTGGGTCTCAGTGCTGACATGTCCAGAGGAGCCCAAGTCTAGATTGTTAGGCGAAATGTCAGGAGCTTTCTGCTGTCGGCCCAGCTCCTGAAGCACATCGTGCAGGCAGCAGAGTCTCTGTGAGCCGCTTGTTGGCAGCCCTTCTTCAGACATGAAAAGCATAAACTGCACACATGTGTTCCTTGTGGTTTAAAAAAAATCTCTTTCATGTGTGTTCGTGTCCTTTCTCATTCCTGCTCTTTTTGTGGTTCGGCCCGGGAAGGAAGAAGTTCAGAGAATCAACTTCCAGATTTATTGACATTCACTTCTTTGTTTCCCCAATAATTTCAGTCTTTGCCCTTAATTTCTTATTAGTTGATTTCTTGTTTCGTTTGGGCTTCTTACATTGAACATATACTTTTCAGTCTTTTTTTGTTCTGTTTTGTTCTCTCATAAACACCTCAAGTATACATTTTCTTTTCTATCTTGGACACATCCAAAATTCGATTTTTTAAACGGACTATAATTTCAACTTAGATTTTGTCTCTAATACTTTGAACTATTAAGAAAATTTAAGTGCATGAATTTCATTTCGTTAAATTACTCTTGTTTTATTTCAGAGGGTTTATTGGTAATCTTAAAATTTGAAGATCTAGTTGACTTCGTCAGGTGATGCAGGAAGTAGGCAGCGTCCCCTCCGGGGCCGGAAGGCGGCCCCCTTTTGGTAGTATTTCCTGCCTGTAGGGCTGGATGTATGCCCCCTCCCTTTTTTTCCTTCTGATAATTTGGAAGATAAATATCCTATTTTTATCCTTTTAGTGGTTACTCTTAAGTTTTTAATAATTATAAGAATACATTTTTTCAGAAAGATACATGCACCCCAGTGTTCACAGCAGGCCTGTGTACATGGAAGCAACCTAAACGTCCACTGAGAGACGACTGGATAGAGAAGCTGTGGTGTGTATATACACACAATGGAACACTACTCCGCCATAAAAAAGGATAAAATCACTCCATTTGCAGCCACATGGATGGACCTAGAGATTGTCAGTCTAAGTGAAGTAAGCCAGAAACAGAAAGAAAAATACCATATGATATCACTTATGTGTGGAATCTTAAAGACAAATGAACTTATTTGCAAAACAGAAACAGACTCACAGACATAGAAAAAAACTCATGGTTACCAGGAGGGAAAGAGGGCAGGAAGGGATAAATTGGGAGTTGGAGATTTGCAGATACTAATATATATAAAATAGATAAACAAGTTTATATTGTGTAGCACAGGGAACTATACTCAATAAGTTACAGTGAAAAAGAATATGAAACGAATGTGTGTGTGTTCACGTGTGACTGAAGCCCTGCGCAGTGCACCAGAGATTGACGCCACGTTGTAAAGTGACTGTACTTCAATACAATGGATATATACCAAAAAAAGAATGCATTTACGTGAACACCAAGATTACTCATTTCTTAGACTTCCCCCTCAAGTAAGGCAGTCCCTTGAACCCATTTTTAATTCCCTATTCCCCTCAATTCTTGAAACCTTTTGTCAGATCTGCACTGCTCAGTGTTGGCTGTCCTAACCGTCTCTAAGCTTGCAGCTCAGCTGTGCTGAGTCCGCTCATGTTGTTGTCACACCGTTGAGCTCTGGAGCTTCTTGCGCCCTGTCTCTGGGGTTGCCCCCTCTCAGGGCTTCTGTGAAGGGGGAACTGGTCTACCTCCTGCCCGAGCCCTTGTCGTGCAGGCCCGTCCGCTCCACTCGCCGCGGTGACAGGCCCGTCTCTGACACGTCAGTTTGTCTGTTCAGCGCGAGCCGGTCTCGGCGCTCTCACCTGAGGAAGACACGTGTCTGCGATGGCTCTGAGCGAGGCAGGCACGCTGCCGAGACGGCCGTGGTGAGCGTGCCCGGCGCCGCAGCTTCTCCTGTCTGCAGATGCTGCTTGTGTGTCATTTTTAAATGTCTTGAAAATGTCCCGGGTGGCTCTTGCTGGTACTAAGGGTTTTTGTTTTTTACGTCCCCTGTTAATTAGATGACACTGAAAACCAAACAGCGCGTGCTAACGGAAGACTGGGAGCTTTTTAAACAGAGGCGATTCGTGGAAGATCAGGTAAGGCTGGGGGGCGTTCGGAGGGGTGGAGGCAGGTCACAGAGGAGTGAGTGGCTCTGGATTAGAGACCAGCATTTCAACACCGCATCGCACTTCTGCCTGTAAGACAGTGTTTCTAAACTTGTTTCCTGTCGCCTTCCTTGTCTTCCGTATTCCTTAAGGTGCACCCCTGTTTATGGAGTGACCCACTCAGCCCACAGCCACCCCCAAGTCCCCACAGTCTCCTTCCAGGCGGGTGGTGTCGTCTGCAGGTCACCCTCGTGGGGTGACACGCAGTGAAGTCACAGGGCTGGACTGGGCCCGCCCCTCTGTGCTGGGGGCCCTGCTCGCCCTTCCTCCAGCAGCCCCGTTCCCCTCTGCCTTGTGTGCTGGCCTCAGGGCACCTGACCTCCTTGGGGAACTCGCTTCCCTGGATTCCTGGGCATGAGCCGGCTTCTCTCCTGATTGGTCCCCTTGCCGGCTCCGCTCCCTCGGCCTTCCCAAGATGTCAGTGCCTCTGTCCTGAGACATGGCTCTCCCAGCCAGCACCGACCCACTGCCAGAGCTGGTCCAGAGGCTCGCCTGCTCCATTGGAAGTTGAGGTGCCGCTTCCTTGGGGCTCCCTTTCCCAGCCCTCCATCCCCTCCACTGGCCTCCCTTGCACCGCATTCCTTTCCACCTGTGCTGCGTCGTGTGCTGACCGTCCAGACTTCCGTGTGCCCTGTCCACACCATTGGCCTGGTGGGCGCTGGACGCTGCGGCTCTGTGTGCCCAGCCCGGGCTGCTCCTTCCCCAGACCCACTCCTGCTTAGTCCCGGGTGGACAGGCCACCGAGGGTCTTTTAAGGGGATGCCCAGCCCATGCTGTTCGCTGGCCTGGACGTGCTCCTTGCCTCTGACAGAGTACCAGCCCCCTGGGCCTTGCTGAGGCCTGGCACGCCGAGCTGCTTTCTTGCCTCTCCAGCACCCAGAGCTGATCTCTGCCAGGGTGCCCCCCATGCCTCCTTTCCCCTCAACCTTGGTTTTCTACCTGCCTCCTCTTCCAGAATCTCATGTCCTCAAGGGCAGTGATTGCCTGTGTGCTCCTGGGACCTAGCGAGTACCAGGTGTGCAGCAGGTTCAGGGTGAAGGCTGGGCGTCTGCTGCAAGGGGCGTCAGTGCATTAGCTGGTGAGGAAGCTGTTAGGGGTCACCGGTCCCTGGCCTGTGTCAGGACCCTTCTCAGCCCCACGGCTGCTGCCCTCTTGTCCTGGCCCTGTCCCACTTCAGGAAGCTGAGTGAGCACAACACACTGCCACAGCTGCCGAGATCTAAGAACCTCGTCATGGAGGATGGGTCCCGCAAGGTTAACCTGTTGTTTCCCGATCTCCTCCAGTTAGCAAACAAAAAAGCCGCCCCTGGTGAGAACAGCTTCACGGACACTGTGAGGCACGTGCTGTCGTCGCGGCTGAGCATGCCCGACTGCCCCAACTGCAGCTACAGGAGGAGGTGAGCCTGGGTGTGCGCGCAGTGGGCCTGCGGGGCCTTCCTGGCCAGCGGAGGCCCGGCGCGGACCCTCCCTGTTGGCTGTCTCGGTAACTGTCCTCAATTCCTGATCAGGTGTGCTTGTGATGACTGCAGCCTGTCACACATCCTCACTTGTGGCATCGTGGATCCCCCCGTCCCTGGCGACATCCACATTCACCAGCTGCCACTCCAGGTGGACTCTGCCCCCGACCGTCTCTCTGAGATGCGCCCGCCGAGCGCGTCGTCGGCAAGCTCAGGGTCAGGCTCCAGCTCTCCGCTTGCAGCCCAGCAGCACCCCAGACTTATCCTCACAGACAACGGCTCGGCACCGACTTTGTAAGTCCCGACTTTGTGCTCAGGTTTCAGAAATTCACGGAACCCACTGATGAGACACCTCGACGGGGGTGTCTGTGGACACGCGCATTACCACTGTAGTGCTTCTCAAGAAAAAGGGCCCTTGTTTTTTTAAGCAACTTTTAAAACATGAAGTCAGGAAACCCAAACTTGATGCTGTTTCATTACCTGCCAAAAAGAAGGTGAATTAACAAATGCCAGCCGGGAAGGTGGTGTTCAGAGCAGTGTCTCCTCGTCCCGCCTCCCTCGTCCTCGTAGCTGCAGGCAGTCGGCCCGAGCTCATCCCACTTCATCGTCCCTCCCACATGCACACCTGCTCCGCGTCTTGCTAAGCCCTCAGGTGGTCACTGTAGCAAGCGATGGACAGGTCCTGTTTTCCACGTCCCACATCCCCAGCAGGACACCGTGTGTGCGAGGTGGCCGTGCAGCTGCCACGCATTCACGCTGTGTGGCGTGTCCGTGTCTTTGTGACCCTGTGGTTTGTTGAGGGTCTCAGCCCTGCCTTCGGGGTGGCTGCACGCCGAGGAACGTCTTGTGTAGGGAAACCTGAGTTTTCGGCCTGCACGTCGTAGGGCCCTGTGGATGCGACTGGCCCACCTGCTGTTCCCCGACCTTGGGCTGCTCCACGGTTCTCAGGTGCCGGCCGCTTCCATCCGTTTCACGTGGTGGCTCTGACGCTTTCCTTTCGAGTCTTTTAGTTCTCAGTGTCGATTGGGTCTCACACTCAGAGTAGTTCCAGGGGTTAGTCTGACCCCACAGCTCTTTGCATTGAGCGTAGACTGCTCTCAGGGCTCTCAGGAGCCTGTGCAGGGGTGTTGAGAGCTTCACAGCTGCCGCTGGTGCTTTTCACAGGAGTGTATTAACACCGAGCAGATGTAGTCAAATGGAAGCTTACGCTAGGCCTTGGCACCTCGCGGTCTGTGTTTTCTGGGTATGAACTGCCGTGACCTGAGGACCTCCCAGGCGGCCTCCGGTCTGCGTTCTCTCTCTCTCGGTGCCGACTTGGTTAAGTAGAGTCAGGCAGTCGTGGGCGATGGGCCGTGGATCTTGTGGGCTCTGGGATGTTGAGGCCTGCCTTCACATCAGGCACGTGGCCTAGTTACATCCTTCCTGCACCTCGGTTTCCTCCTCTGAATCATGGTGATGGTGACACCACAGGAGGCCCAAGCAGCCCCGGCCTGGCGAGCGCCCTCCTGCTTCCTACATGCTTCGTAGCATGTAGACTTGCTTTCCTAGAAACGGAGAAGACATCTGAGTTTGGAGATTTGCGACCCTCTCCCGTAAAGCCGAAAGAGCTCCAAATGTTAAGATTCTCCTTCTAGGGGGCCATTTGTCAAGGCTCCAGGCAGACTTGGAGGCATGTTTATGCAGAGCGTGGGGCGTCCGTTTGTGCTTTGAACTGTGTGCGCTAAGCCAGGAACCTGTGCCAGCTCGTCCCATGTGCCAGAAATCCATACACTGTACATGGCTTCCCTGGGCCATGGCAGGGCAGTCTTTCTGCTTCCCGTTGGTGTGTGTTCCGTTTGCCCACCACTTACATGCTTTGCTAAAGCTGGTGCCTCGTTAAGGTCATGACCGACTTGACACTAAAAGCTCAAAAGCGTCTTGTGTTTCGTCACTAAGTGCCTTTAGTGCTTTGCTCAGCTGGCTGTGGCTGAAGTTGTGGTGGTTACAAACACGCTGAAGACCTAAGGTTGTTCTCCACACCCCTTTCGTTTTAATCAAAGATTGTGTCTTTTTAGAAATGGCAGAGAGAACAGCTGTACACCAAGCACTTCAAGTTGAATGGAAGTGTAATATCAATCAATCTGATTAAATTTTGTCATTTCCTTAATATTTCTACTTTTGGAGTTTCTTTTTCCATTCTTCCAAACAGCACAAGTGGTGATCTTGCGGGCATTTTTCACTCGTGTTCAGGTTATAAGAGGTGTTAAGACCATGCGTCCTTCTCTGTGTAATTCTCCTTTGAGAGCAGCGTCAGCTGAGGGAGTTCACTAGCTGTCCCCACGGGTGAGCGGCCTCACAGGGACTGTCTCTGCTGTCTCAGTTGTAGTGACGATGAAGATGTCGCCCCGTTGTCCGCTAAGTTTGCTGACATCTATCCGTTGAGTAACTATGACGACACGGAGGTGGTGGCCAACATGAATGGAATCCACAGCGAACTGAACGGTGGCGGGGAAAACCTGGCGCTGAAAGAGGAGGTACGGGCGTGGCCTCTTCAGAGTGGCGATAGTGGCATAAAATGGTGGTCTGGGGTTTCAGTTTTCTGTATCCTTCTGCTCTGAAAAGTGTAAATGACAAAGGGTGTCTTTAAAGTCCCCTCAGGTAAGCAGTACCAGCAGTAGCTCTTCAGAAGCTGACGATGAAGAGGCGGCCGGCGAGAGCAGTGGGGAGCCACCAGGAGCCCCGAAGGAGGACACGGCCCCAGGAAACGGGAGCCCCGGGAAAGAGGAAAGTAAAGTGGACAGTCCACCCCCATCTTACCCTGCCCAGCAGGTATGGTCTTATTTCTCTGAACTCCGTTTTGCCAAGGGTCTCTTTCTCTGTGTCTAGTTTCTCTCAACATGACCATTACTGAATACAAAATTAGTCATTTCAAGTAACTTCTGAAGATGAGGACTGGAGAGGATCAAGGTGCACTTAGGAGCTAAATCAGTGTGACTCGTACCCTCCTGTTAGTCGTGTGTGTCTTGCATGAATCTGCAGCCAGCGTTGTCTTGATCTGCCGCACCCCGAGTAGCTCCAGGGATTTAGGTGTTGGGGAGTCTTTGTCTGTAGAAGCAAGGGGAGGGCTTTTAAATGAAATAAAATTGTGGAGTGTTAAGGCTTCAGAAAACATTGGTGTGGAAAGGGAGCTTTTTTCCTGGTAGAGATTTGTTTTTCTGTTAACTAGAGGTGAGGGTACCTTATCAGACTATTATTTTTCCTTTGAGACTCAGTTTTATAACAGATGCTCAAGCAGTTTTCAATTGAAAGGAAACACAAAGGAAGGTCATGGCCATTTGCAGCACTTTGCTAGGTAGTGAAGTCTCCAGTCGGGGGTGCCGGAAGATGCTCCATTGAGAGGTCTGGCTCCACCTCCTTCCTCATCTCCCGGCCCAGCACCTTCCCACCCCAGTCCCGGTGGAGACCCAAACTGGCCTTAGTGATGTACTGCGTGTCCTTCCGGTGTTTGTGCAAACGCCAGCATTCCTCCGCTTCCTTCCGAAAAGGCCTGCACCGGAGCACAGTCCGTTCTGCCCCTCACCCGGCAGCGCCTCCTGACCGGCTGTCTGCGGGGTGCACTTCTTCACGCCCCTCTGCTGGCCTCCCTGTACTCTGTCTGTGGACGTACGTTGTTCCATTTCGTTTTTCTCTCTAGTCCCCCTGCTTCCCTTTGTTTTCCCACCGTAAACGCTCCAGTGAGTAGCTGTGGACGTCTGACATTTTATACACGGGCAGTTCTGCCCCTAGGATTGGTCACAGCAGTGGCTCTACTGGGCTAGCGCGTGGTGGCCGCCCCCACCCCCGGAAGAGAGTGACATCGTAGTTTTGGACTCTTGCCTGTCTGGAAGGTAAAAAACGATAACCCTGTGGGGTTTCAGGTTGCATTTTTCTGGGCAGAGCTGAGCGTTCTGTCGTCTGCCGAGGGCTCCTTGCGATCGGTTCCTTTCCTGCCTTGTGCTGGAGTTACGAGAGTTCTGTGTGTGCTGGCACAAGCCCTTTATCAACTGTGCGATCTGCGAGTGCTTTCTCTTGGTCTGGTGGCACGTCTGTTCTTTTTTTGTGGTACTTGAAAAGCAGAAGTTCTTAGCTCTGATGCACTCCAGCTTATCAGTTTTTTCTTTTATGGATCATGCTTTTGATGTCATACCCAAGAAATTTTTGCTTATTGCAGACCTGTTTTCTTCTAGAAGATACAGCATTTTAGCTTTTACTTAGGTCTGTGATTCGTTTGAGCTGGTTTTGCTTATGGTCTGAGCGTAGGGTCCAAATCCATCTCTTTGCATGTTTGGATATCCAGTTGTCCCAGTACCGTTTGCTGAAAAGACCATCCTTTGCCCTGTTGAACTGCATTGGTCATTGGTTGAAAAGTAATTGACTATAAATGGAAGAGTTAATACCTACATGGTGTATTCTGTTCATTTGATCTCTATATCCTCAGAATATAAACCCATACTATACTTGACTGCTCCTTTATAATAAGTTTGGAAATCAGGTGGCATCTGCCCTCCAGCTGGGTGGGCCATCTTCAGAATTTTTAGGCTGTTCCTTTGCATTTCCTTGTATGTTTTAGGATTAACTTACTACCTCCTACAAAGAGGCCTGCTTGGGTTTTGGTAGAGATTGCACTGAATTCTTGAATATTTGGTAGAATTCACCACCAAAATCCTCTGGGCCTAATCTTTTATTTGTGGGATGATGAGGATCAATTTGGGGAAAATATAATCTTGAGAAAGTTGAATCTGTCAGCCGGTGGAACAGTCTGTGCTGTTTCTTTCCATTTATTTAAATTACCTTCAATTTCTTTCAGCAGTTGTGAAGATCTTCTTGTCTGTGGTTCTTGAGCATAGTTCTTAAATTCATTCTTAAATATTAGGTGTTTTTTGATTCTGTAGTGAATGGTATTTTCTAATTTCAATTTTCAATCGATTCTTGGTAATATACAGAAATACAGTGGATTCTTATAAATTGATCTTAAATTCTCCAGCTTTGCTAATAAACTTGTTGCTTTTGAGGGGTTGAGATGTTTTGTGTTTGTTCCCTTCCTCCAGATTTTGCCGGGTCGTTTTGTCTGTGAATAAACAGTCCCCTTCTTGCTTTCCTACCTGGGCGCTTTTGGTCTCTCACTCCTGCCTTGCTGAGCTAGCTAGAGCCTTCGGCGCAGTATTGAATAGAAGTGGTGCGAGCAGACGTCTTTGCTTATTCCCAGTCTTGGGGTAAGCACTCAGTCTCTGACAGTGAGCAGATGCTGGGCTGGGCTGCATGTGTGTCCTTGTCAAGTGACTAGTTCTGTTCTGCGCCCAGATTCCTGAGGGTTTATCAAGAATTCGGGTTTTCAGGTCCCTGTTCTGCATCTGTCGAGAACTCCCTGTGGTTTTCGTCCTCATTCTGTTTCTCTAGTATATCTCATCAAGGGACCTTTTTGGTATTAAACCAACCTTGTGTTCCTAGGGTAACTCCCACTTGGTCAGGGCATATAATCCTTTTTCTTTTCTTTTTCGAATGTCGGTTGGTTGGTTTGTGAAGATTTTTGCATCTGTGTTGATGAAGGATACTTGCCTGTAGTCTGTCCTTATGGGGTCTTCGTCTGGCTCTAGTATCAGGGAAATACTGGCCTCGTAGAATGAGTTGGGAGGTGTTTGTTCTGCTTGTGTTTTCTGAAGGAATTTGTCTTGAGGTTGAGATTTCTTAAATATCTGACAGAGGCCACCAGGGAAATTCCAAGGGCCTGGTCTCTTTTGTGGGAGAATTTGCAGTAACTCATGTGAGTTTCGCTGACTCGTTCCAGGTCCATTTGGATTTTCTGTTTCTTCTTGGGTTGGTTAATACTTCATCTTGTTAGAAATTTACCTTCCTCATCGAAGTTGTCTGGTTTGATGGAATGAGGTTGCATTAGATTCTCTTTTAATTCTGTGGAGTCTGTAGTGTAGTGATGTTAATTCCTGGTTTTGGTAACTTCGTTTACTTTTTTTAACCCCTTCAGTCAGTCTGGCTGTAGGTTTATCAACTTCTGTAAATAACCAGTTTTTGGTTTTGTTAATTTTCTGTTCTCCTCTTTACTCTTCTGATCGCCATTATTTCTTTCTGTGTTCTTTGGGTTGGGTTTATTATTCTTTTTCTAGCTTGTTGAATCTAAATCTAAAGACTTGTTTTATGGCCTAACATATATGGTCTATCCTAGATTGTGTTCCACGTGCACTTGAACATGAAAATAATTTGCGTTCTGCCCTACTTGGGCGGAGTGTCCTGTAGATGAAAGTTTGGCACAGTGATTGTCCACATTATTCAAGTCCCTACATCCTTACTGATTTTTCCGTTTAGTTCTACAGATTACTCAGGGAGACACTGATGGATTATTCCTCTTTCAGAGCTGCCGGTTTTTGATTCATACATTTTGGGACAGTGTTGTTGAATGTGTCTCCATGTATTGTCTCCCTAATTTAGTGGCCCTCTTGTCATTAGGAAATACTTCTTTTCTAATATTTCTTAAAGACTTTTGTCTAACACTAGCATAGTCACTCCAGCTGTCTTAGGGTTATTGAATGCATGTTGTATGTTTTTTCATCCTGTTAATTTCAGCCTCTGTCTGTCTTTGAATCTAAAATTTGCCTTCCCATCTTTTAGTTGGGTCTTCCGTCGTTATCCTGCCATCAGTCTCTGCCTGTTGTTTGCAATCCTTCATTTACATTTAGTGTAATGATTGGTGATACTTACATCTTCCTTTTTGCTGGGTATTTCTGTATGTCCCATGTTTTTTGCTCCTCTATCCCTCCTTTACTTCCTTTTTTGTATCAAACAAAATTTTTAGTGTCTCCTTTAATTCTGTTATTGATTCTTTAATTGTGTTTTTGAGTTTAGTTTTTTAAGGGGTGTGGGAAGTTGGGAAAAGGAAGAGCCCCAGGCCAGAAGGCTAGACTCCTTCTGTTCTTACCTAAAGTTCTAACAGATTTGCATGAATAAACGCTTCTCAATTTGTTTTTTTCCTTTGGTTGATTTCCAGAGCCTCAAAACGATTGCCTTTGACAGTTGTGTTCAGTTTTACACTTGTTTTGAGGGAGAGGAGTCACCGACTGCTTCATTCCACCTTAGCCGGAAGTCCCATCTCTGGTGCATTTTGAAGAATCTCTATGTAACCATCCGTTAAGCAGTGTGAGCCCAGCGGAGCGTGGCACCGGTGGTCTTGTTGTCCTTGGTCCCAGCTCCCCCTCTCCACTCTGCCATCTGGCCGGTCCCCTTGCCCCTGCTCAGACAGGCGCGGATGCAGGCGGGCGTGGCTGCTGCCTCGGCCGATGCCCAGCGGGGCTGAGGTGCGCACCCCCTCTCTTTTCAGGTCTCTTCAGTCCACTCCTGGGGGCCCTCGTTTACCTCGCAAGGAGGGGCCCGCTCAACCTGGGGTGTCAGGACGGGCCCTGCTGTCTTTGTATTTGCTGTGTGACTGACTCTAATTCAGTCCATACCATTCTTTTTTCCCTAAATACTAAATACTAAGTTATTAAGTACTTTTTTCCTTTCCTTTTAGGCTGAACCAGCTCCAAACACTTGTGAATGTCACGTTTGTAAACAAGAAGCGTCTGGATTGACGGCATCAGCCATGACTGCGGGGGCCCTCCCTCCTGGCCACCAGTTCCTGAGCCCCGAGAAGCCCACACACCCTGCTCTGCATCTTTACCCGCACATCCACGGACACGTGCCCTTGCACGCCGTCCCACACCTGCCACGCCCTCTTATTCACCCCACCTTGTACACGGCACCCCCCTTCACACACAGTAAGGTAAGTCAGGGCAGAGGGGGCCCGAAAGCTCACCCGTCACTAAGCTCCTCCGGGCGCCCATGTTTAAACAAACAAGAGTCTGTAAATGGGCGGCTCCTGACAGGAGGGTCTGTGGATGTTCCCTTTTGCCATAATCTCTTGAACTCTTGGAATTGTGAGCCTTTACACGTGCGAGAGCAATCGTACAAGTCATGGTTTATTCCTTCAGAGTCAGCTGGTACCTGGAGAGTGGTTCAGGGCACGTTCTAACCACCCGGGCTGCTGTTCGTTCTTTGCCGGTGGCCTTTTGGGCCTGGCTCTTTGTCTTCATGTGGTGGGTAGAATAATTTGAGTACAGCATGAGTCCTGTGACACTGGCTGGGCTGTACCAGGTCCAAAATCACTGTGTTCTCCAAACACGAAAACGAGGGCTTGCATGTAGAAGGCACGTTCTTGAGGGTGCGACCCCTGTGCGTGGGGCGGTAGGAGATTGTGCTGCCGTGCAGGTGGGTGGGTGAGAGGGCGCGGGGGGGCAGTCTGGAAGGGGCCTGTTCAGGACAGCAGTGAGGAGCTGGGAAAGCCTGACTTGGATGTGCTTCTGTTCGGAGAACCTCGGGCTTACGTGCAGTGTCTTAGACGCGGCAGTGAGATTGTTAGGCTGGTTTCATGCTTTGTACTGTAGATCGCTTTGCCTCTCTAGCTATTTTGAACTTATTTTATTGATCCTTATCATAAACTTTTTTTTAAATTTTTTTTATCAGTTATTTTGGTTCAAGGTTAGTTCTAATCAATCAAAAATAGACTTTCCTCCCAAACTCTACTGATTTATTATTTAAAGCAGTGATTCTCGACCAGGAGAGAAAGGGGGGACCTGACCTGGAAGGGGCTTTGTCGTCCTGCACATCACTGTGAAGTGGGGTGTGTGGAGCCTGACGTGTGTTTGCTGGGGTGGGTGCATGGGCCCGGGGTTAACAGCCACTGGCTTAGAATGGACTATAGTCAGTTTGTCATGTTCTCTTATAATAAGTGCTTGGTAATCACCCGAGTTTATCCTTAAATTTTATTGGGTAGAATATTGTTCAGTTTGAACACTTAATGGTGCCTTTGCTAACAGAATGATTTTTAAATAGTATTACCCAGGTATGTGTTCAAGGCCAGGCCATCTTCATGGTCTGCCCAGCCTGCAGCCTCTTTCCCTCCAGGTGAGCGTGCGAGGGTGGGAAGCTGTCAGCAGCCTGTCCTTCCGTAAGTGGATCTCCATTTTCTAGTCCCTGGGGAACCACCCGGAGAAAGGAGTATAGGATGTTCTCTTACACTTTCTAGCTGGTAGAAGCTGTTTAAGAATTAGTTCCTAAAAACCTTCACGTGAAGAAGTGAAATTGACTATTCCCAAAGGCCTTTGGGACACCCTCATGACAGCTGATGTTTTCCTGTGACTTTTGGCCTTCTCTCAGGACGTTGTAAGTGGTCCGTGGGGGTAAAGGAGAAGGGCGTCACCTGGGGTGAAGGCTGTTTATGTGACACCTGCTAAACTCTGGTCCAGTAAGGAGATGTGAACGGTTCATGGATGGAGAGGCAAATCCAGAGGACAAGCTGTTAAGCTGTATTTCAACCACTTTACCGTAAACGTCAAGATTGTTCACTGACGTGCTTCATGTACACTAGCTGGGTGCCATTTTTATTTGGAAGAATGAGATATGTTTGATAAAGTACTTTATTTGTGCCTGGTGTAAAAATGTTTGTTTCTCTAGCAGTCTTGCATCGTCACTTACCGGGCTTTGCCGAGCATGTCTGTGTCATCCGAGTTAGTCTGACTGAGTTGAACACGAGGCTGCGACTGCAGCGAAGCACCAGGGTGCTCGGCCGGCCGCGCCGGGGCGGCAGGGGCTCCTTCCCCGGAGGCGCGAGCTGCGCTGGGAGGACACGCGCTCGCCTTCTGCTGCGGCGCCGCGCACCCTTCCTGTCCCGGCGCTTCTCGCCTGCTTCTGTCTCCGCGTCCTCAGGCCCTTAGGATTTCCTGCTCTGGTGAAATGGCGGCTGCTGTCACCTCCGAGACTTTATGTCGCTTCAGTAGGGATTCTTTCCATTCATGCTTCTGGCACCGTGGGCAAATAGTCGTACCTAAAATGCTTGGAATGAGTACTGTGAGAATTTTACTTTCTTGAAATTAGGAAAACTTGAAGACTGTTTCTGTTTTCAGAGTGGTCTTCATACCGATGATGTGTTTCATTCATACGTTGAGGTGTGTTATTTCAAAGTTAGAAGTAGTTGCAGGAGGCAAGTAATAGTGATGAAATACTAGAGGAAGAAACTGTAAATGACAGGGAGTTTAATTCCCAAATGTTTGAGAATTCCCTGGCTATCTTTCTGTTATTGATTTCTACTTTAATTCCATTGTGGTCTGAGAGCAGACACTGTATGATTTCTGTTGTTCTGAATTTGTAAACGTGCGCTTTATGGCCCCAGATGTGGTCTCTCTTGGTGAATGTTCCGTGTTCCTTAAGAGGACCGCGCGGCTGCTGGTCTGGGGTCAAGTAGCCTGTAGCTGTCAGTTACGTGAGTTGGTAGGTGGTGCCTCTGGGTTCGGTTGTGTCCCTGCTGACCTCTGCCTGCCGGGCCTGTTTATTCCTGACAGAGGGAAGTGGACGACACCAACTGCGACATCTCTCCTTGAAGTTCTATTAGCCTTTGCCCCACGTGGTTTGATGCTTTTTTGCTAGATGCTTACGTGTTGAGAATCGCTGCATGTTCTTAGGGAATTGACCCTTTCATTGTCAACGCCCCTCTTATCCTTGATAATTTCCTTGCTCTGAAGTCGGATCTGTCTGAAGTTGGTGTGGCTGCTCCAGCTTTTGATTAGTGTTACATGGTGTATCTTCTGCATTCTCTTACTTTTAACTTAAAGAGAGCTTTGTATTTTGTAGGTTTCTTGTAGACAGGTGGAATGGGTCTTGCTTTTTAATATACTGTGATAATCTCTGTATTTTCATTGGTATGTTTAGACCGTTGACGTTTAAAGTGTTTGTAACTGTTTCCTATTCATTACCAAAGGCTTATTTTTCTGCCTTCTCTGCTTTTAATTGAACGTCTTCTGACCCCATTTTATCTCCTTCCTCAGCATATCAGTTGTACCTTTTTTTGTTTAATTTTAGCAGTTGTATTAGAATATACATTTTAACTGACCTAAATCCTCCAGATACCCGCCATTCGACGTCATGTGCAGTGTAGGTGCTTTTTAACCGATCGTCCCCAGTCCCTCCCTCCCACCCCCGTGACACTGCCGTCATGATTCTCATTTATCTGAGTGTTAGTCACCCGGTACATTGTTGCTGCTACTACATTAAACAGTTGCGTTTAGATCAGTTAGTGGTAAGAAGAGGGGGAGACTCCCTTTTATCTGTGCTTGTGCCTTCTCTGTTGCTCTCCCTGTCTTCATGTGGACCCACGCGTCTGACCTACGCCGTTTTCCTTCTGCCTGGAGAAAGTCCTCCGTTGATTCTTGCAGGGCAGGCCTGCTGGAGGCGCGCTCCCTCAGTCTTTGTCTGTCTGAGGAGGTCTTTGCTTCTCCTTCACTTTTGAAGGATGATTTCACTGGATACAGAATTCTAGGTTGGTGGGTTTTTTTCTTTCCCCACTTAAAGCATAGTTAATTCCACTCTTTTCTTGCTTGCATGGTTTTAGATGAGCTGTGCTCCAACTGTGTTCCTTGCTCTGTAGGCACAGGGGTTTCTCTCCCGTCCTCCCGCCCTCGGCTGCTTCCAGGATTCTTTTGTCTTTGGGTTTCTGCAGCTGGAGTGTGGCATGCCTGGGGTAGGTTTGGGGCTCTCTGTTCTGTTTGGTGTTCTCCAGGCCTCCTGAATCTGTACTTTGGTGTCTCGTTAGTTTTGGAAAGTTCTCGGCTGTTACTACTTCAGATATTTCTGCTGCCTGTTCTCTCTCCTGTCCTAACCTGTTACGCTAGGTAAACATCTCCTGAAATTGCACCATAGTTCTTGGATTTTTTTTTTTTTTTTTTGGTCGTTGGTGGTGTGATTTTTGGTTTCTGTTTGTTTAAGTTCTCTTTTCTCTCTGCATCTCGGTTTGAAAAGTTTTTCGTGACGTGCCTCGACGCTCACTGCGCCGGTTCCTTCCTTGGCTGTGTCCAGTCTGCTGATTCTTCGTTTCTCTTACGGCGTTTTTTATTTCTAGCGTTTCTTTTTGATACTTTCTTACACTCTCTGCTTCTGTTACTCATTTGTTCCTGCATGTTGGATACTTCTTCCGTTAGAACCCGTAGCATTTTAGTGATTGTAAATGCCCTGTCTGATAGTTCTCAGCCGTCTTATTTTCACATCCCTGCTTCCCTGTTGTGCTGTCTCTCCGAACTTCTGGTTAGGCCTCTTCGTTCTGCTCTTCTCACTTGAAGCTTGTCTCCTTGTCTTACATTCTATTCAGAGAACCTTTTTTGGATCAGTCTTCTATTTAAGTGATTCTCTTAACTGTGTCTGATCTGCCACTTAAGTTTGAATTTTTAATCCCACCTGTAATTCGTATTTCTAAGCTTTATTTTTCATATGTGTTGGCAACTTTTTATATTCTCTTGTTCCTTGGTCACTTTTTCTTTCATCTTTCCTTTCTTTAAGCATTTTTCACATAGTTGTTCTGTGTTTGAATGAAACCTGGAGGATCTAAATGTTTTCATTATGAGGTCATGTTGTCAGTTCGCTCTGCGAGAACCCTGGGGCCCTGAGTAGGGCTGCTTCCTCAAGAGAGGGCTTCCCTCTGTTGCTGCAGAGATGCCAGCAGGGCTCTGACCCCGGGCCTCCAGCTCCTCTCGACAGCCTCCAGGTCGCCGGTCTCTCATGGGGCTGCAGACTTGACCCCGTCGCTGTCCGATGGTGCGCAGGCCTTCAGCGCAGCCGCGCCTCCCCACCTCCACTTGTTCCTTGGGTTTTTTTTTTTTTTGGTTTTTGTTTTTCTGTTTTGTTTTTTTACAAAATGAGGCAAGATTCTTCATTGAAGAGGCAGGAGGTAAATTATGGTGAATAATTTATAGTTCTTTTGCCTTCATTCATAGAGTGAAGTAAACATTTTGTTCAGTTGTCAGTTTCTGATTATGTACATATTTTAATGAAAAATTGAAAATCCTTTTTAGACAAGTATTTCTAAAAGAGCAGTATTGCTTTTTTGTGTATCTGTTTTTATTGAAGTGTAGTCAGTTTACAACGCTGTGTCAGTTTCTGGTGCACAGTGTAATGCGCCAGTCATACATGGACATGCATACGTTCACCTTCATCTTCTTTTCTGCTTGGCCCTGTTCTTCGTGCCGTCTTCTTATTGCTTCTTCAGGAGAGGTTTCCCTTGCTTGCTCTCTGTAGCTCAGCACTTTGTTACAAAGGCATTTGGTGCCTTCATCTGGGACATAGAGTGAAGTGCCCCCCCCTTACTGGACAAAACCCAAGTGGAGGGAGAACTCTGACCCTCAAGAGAAGAGCAGGGAGGGCTGCCCATTTTGCTCCTTCGCAGCGCAGTCTCAGCTGCCACGGCCCAGGAGCAGTGCTCGAGGCTTCCAACTTTATATCCTGTGTCTTTTCCACCTGGAAGACATGTGATGAAGCCATTGCCACACTGACAAGGGCCTATAAATGAAGGTGGAGAGGTGTCCTGAAGTCTCCAGAGGAGCATGAGGAATGTTCGGGAATAGTCAGGAAGCTCAGTGCATCGAGTGGAGCCTGGTGACGTGGTTCCCACATGGCTCTGGGCGTGTGCACCTGTCACCTCCGATGCTGGGTTATGATGAGCAACCACTGCAAATGTGTCTCATAGAGTGAAACATGGCACAGCTGTTAAGTTCAGGGGGCACTTGAGGGAGAAGAGAGCTGTGTGAAAGTTGAGGCGTAAATAGATTGCCATTGGGTCAGGCTGTGACTTTGATCTGTGTTGTACCTCAGAGGTAGTATTCAGCCCTTCTGACCCAAGTAATAGCAGCACAGAGGTGCTGCCCGAGCCCTTCACCAGCCGTGGCAGCATGCTGACGAGCCTTGGTGAGAGAAACGCAGGGCCAAGGGCCTCCCCGTGGGGCAACTGGGCCCCTCCTGTCTGAGGACTCGGCGGGGCAGCCTCTCGCCTCCGTGTCCGTGGCATCTGGTATGACGTGTTGGGGAGCGAGACAGGCTGGGCCTTAGGGCTCCTGCTTGGACTCGAGAGGAGCGTATGGTGAAGGCAGTCAGTGCGTGTCAGAGCTTCCGTTTAAAGCAGAGTCCGCTTTCTTGTGAATCACTTTGCTATCAAAGTGGAGAACAGCCGACACTTACATAATCGGCACTGTGGATCTGTGTAAAGGCTGAAATCAGCCGTGTAGTTTAATGCACTATCCACGTGTTGAGAGACTTGTTGACACGTCACCAGGAACTCTGGAGGCATGGCCCCAGGGTGCTCTAGTGACGGGGCTGCTTTTTTTCTGACGGAAACCCGTGGTGTCTTGTGCAGGAGCACTCCTGCAGACAGGGCTCGTTTGTCCAGACCCTCTGTCCCCATGGTCTCTACAAATGGACCCGTTTCCAGTGGACGGGCTTCTGAGGAAGTGAATCACATGCACGTCTCCATTGGGTCCGGGTCATAGTTGTGGCCCCTTCTTCCTCTGAGCTAGCCTCTGTTCGGCATTTGTTGAACATCCAGTATGTGCCAGGCCCTGTGCTGCCCACCAGGACAGTGAAAACCAGCTCTTCGCGGGCCCTGTTTGCTGAGATCCCACAGTCTAAAGAGGAGATGAAATCATAAACTTGAAAAATCAAACCACCGTGGTGTACCTTTACAGAAATTGTAGGTGTGAAGTAGAGCAGTAACACCAGAGGGCTGTCCGGCCCGTGGGTGGTTCTGCAGAGTGGTGAGGCTGGAGTCGGGCTTCAAAGGACACGCCCTGGGGAGACGGGGTGGGGGTGGTCAGCAACTCCTTGAGTAGCTTCTGAGCCCTGAATCAGCTGCTGCTGTCTCGGGCTGACAGCTGAGTGAGCGAGGTGGCGCTGCCCCCCACCCCGTCGGGCGTTTGCCCTTTAGCAGGAGGTCCTCGAGACTGAGGAACCTTCTTCCATTTGACTGTCACTTTTCCTCAGTCCCTTCTCAGCAAAGCAGCTCGTAGCTGATCACACTGTGGAAACAGGCATCCGTGGGAGTGTGGCTTTATCCCTTCCTCACTCCTGCCCCGGGTGGGGCTTCCCCACCAGCAACTCCCAGATCAGGTTCCTGCTTTGACCTTGGATCCAGTCCAGACCCGTGTCTTCCCACCTTCACATCCTGAACGTCCGCCCCAGCCTCACCCTCCACCTTCGTTGCTCTGAGCCCGGTCGGGTCAGTAGACATGCGGAGCTGTCCAGCTACCCAGGTGGCGTGGCGGCCCACCCCTCCCTGCACTGTGGGCAGCGGGGCTGGGACAGGGTGGGGGCTGCTCTTTGCCCAGCGAGACCCACCTTAGCACTCCTGAAGGGCTTCCCGTGGGCCAGATGAAGCACTGCACACCTGACACTGGTTTAATTCTTACCACGTCCCCTGGAGGTAGGTATTTCCAAATTAGAGATGAAAAACTAAAGCACAAAAAGATTGAGCAATTTGCCTGAGGTCACACAGCTAGTAAAAGGGAGAGCTGGCGTCTGAACCCTCAGCCTGTGCAGCCCGAGGCTGCGAATGGGACGAGAGTTCACATCCAGCTCCGTCACGGTCCACGCGTCCCAGGGATGGAGCCAGAGATGGCAGTTCTGACTTGAGGGTGGCCACAGACTCAGACGTTGCCCGGACAGTTCAGAGCCCTTTCTCTCCTGTCCGTCTTCCCGCCGTTGCTTCCTGACTCCTCACCCCGTACTAACCGCTGTCAGTGTCATCCTTGCCCCTTCTGGCTCACTCGGCAGATTGTCGCCACTGGGTCCTTCTAGGAAACTGACGAGGTCATCTCTCCCTGCTGCTTAGAACCCTCCATGGCTCCCTAGCCCCTTCAGGACAGGAGTCACATGGAGACGTGGCCCTGCAGCCTGTCGGGTTGGCCACCTGTGCTCTGTCCTGTCCCTTCCCCCTCTGCCCCAGTTGGGCCCTCAGTGTTCTGCCAGACCATCAGCTGCTCTTGGGAATCCTCCCCAGACCCTCCCACTTGAGCAGACAGCCTCACTGCGCGTTTCTGTGTCCCCGAGGATGTTCCCGGCGCAGACCTTTGCTCCCCTGGGTGGGCCCGTCCTCCCAGTGTGCAGACCTGAGTGGGAAAGCTGTGGGCCAGCATCAGCAGGGGCTGGGGCAGCAGGGCCGGGACCCAGGCAGCCCCGCCCTCGTGAAGCTTGCGTGACATGAGGAAGGCAGAGTGAAACCCATAGGTTACAAGTGGGTCTTCAGTTACAACTGTGGTGAGGGCTGAGCGGGACAGTTACGGATTTTAGTGTGTTTGATGGGAGGGCCCACCTGGGTCTCGGGTGTTGGGTGGTGAGAGCAAAGGCAGTGATGGTTTCTCCAAGGAAGTGCCATCTAGGCTGTGGCCGGGAGGATAACCCAGATCAGCAAGGTCAGGAGCTGAGGTTAGGATGTTCTGGAGTGTGGACACAGCGTGGGCATGTTGTGGGTCAAGAAGTAGCCCGAAGTCTGAGGACCAAGGGAGGACCCGTGTATCCTGGGGCGTGGCGGGCAGGAGGGTCATGGACAGGCCGGGCCACGTGCAGGACTTTGGATTTTATGTCAGAGCAGCGGGAGCCGCTGGCACAGCCTAAGCAGGGGAGTGACACACCCTCACTGACACCCAGAAAGCCACTCCGGTGCTACGGGGGTGGGGGGCGATGGCGTCAGGAATCGGGGCGGAGGCGGGGGCTGTGAGGTGGGGCTGAGGGAGGGCGGGCCCAAGGTGCTCGGGTGTGTGCAGGGAGCAGCCGACAGCTCGTCACTCCGCGAATACGTGGACCGCAACTTCAGACAAGGGTCTGCCCCGGGGCGGGAGGGGAGTGGTTCAGAGCTCAGCGTAAAATCCATCCTTCTTCAGGCCTGTACTGCACTTTGCCCAAGTGTGAGAGAACAGTGTAAGAGTTTACCATTTTTACCAGTGATCCCGAAGTTGTCTTTTTAGCAGCGATCTTGAAAATGTCAGGTGAGAATCAGCCGTAGGAACAGAGCTCATGCAAACGGGCCTCGTGTGCAGTGTGACCAGGGAGGAGCGTTAGAAGTGACCGACTTGTCTGAAGTTTGTTTGATCTATTCCATGAGCACCAGTTGCGTTTAAGACCTACGTCTGGTTCACGTCTGCCGCGCCGCGTGCAGCCTCGCAGGCGACCCAGGGAGCGCTCCTCGAGGTGTGCTCAGCCGCGACGCTGGTTGGCGGCAAGCCTACCCCGCAAGGTTTCAGCAATGACTTGTCTGTTTCTAGTTTAACTGCTCAGGTGAACAGAATATAAATTTTGGTATGTGATTAGAACTTTTTTTTTGTAGGCTTTACCGCCAGCACCTGTTCAGAATCACACAAATAAGCATCAGGTATTCAGTGCATCTCTTCAAGACCATATTTACCCGAGCTGTTTTGGGAGTGCTCCAGAGTGGAATAGTTCTAAATTTATAAGTCTCTGGGGATCAGAAGTGATGAATGATAAGAACTGGAACCCTGGCGCGTTCTTGCCAGATACAGTTTCTGGTAAGGAACCTGTTAACACTTTCTTAAAGTTCGAAGTGGCCTGAGCTGTGTGGATTGCGTCCCCGTTCCTGCCCCTCCTGGGAGGGGCCCTGGAGCGGCCGAGCCCAGGCTGTGCTTCCCCTCGCCCCGACTCTGGTGGGGGACCCCGGGCCCGCCCCCTCTCCTCTGCCGCCAGTGAGGCCCCACTGCACCGACCAGCAGAGCAAGTGCAGCCGCTGGCCAGCCGGGCCTGTGGACGCTGGGTCCCTCCCGTCCCAGGGCTGCTGAGCGTCTTGTCTCCAGGGTTGGCGTTTGGCCTTTGGTCCTCGAGCAGTGGTGGCAACTGGACCTCAGCCTAGGGCACTGGGGTGGCGCGGCCTGAACACTGTGACTTAATGCTCCTTTTCTCTCTTTCTGTATTGACTGACCCCTCACCCCGCAATGGGATCTGTCCCCTCTAACAAGCACCTTCCTCCCAGCTGCCTCCGCTGCTGAGATGTGGCTGTCTCTTCAGTAGCAGGGTAGGGCACACCTGAAAAGGGGCTGGTACCTGTGCCTCTTCTCTGTCTTCATGTGATTAGAGCCCCTGAGGGCCCCACATCCACCCCTGCATGTGCTCAGAACAGCAAGCTAGACTTGACATCTGGTCTGTGCTTGGAAAGAGTTTCTAGCTGTGTGACCTTGGGCAAGTTGCTTAGCCTCTCTGAGCCTCAGTTTCTTCATCTTTAGCATACGAATAATAGTACTAAGCTCAGAAAGTAGTGTTAAGACATTAAATCAAATGGCTTTTGGAGAGCACCCAGCACAGGAATTGGCATACAGTAGGTGCTCAGTACATTTTTTCCTGGATGAGAACCAGCCAACTCACATGGTCCCAGCCCCAGGGTTCATAGTCCAGGCAGCGGGTGTCCTTTAGGTTTTAGCTGAATGCTAGCTATGTCTTTGAGAAGCTTACTTTTCCCATTCTTCTCTGAAGGGAGTGATATATTAGGGCCAGCACTCTCAGAAACAAGACCTGAAGCCCTTCCGCCTCCATCTAGTGGTGAAACACCTGCAGTTTCGGAGAGTAAGGAGAAAAAAAATGCTGCAAAAAAGAAGTGTTTGTACAATTTCCAAGATGCTTTTATGGAAGCGAACAAAGTTGTGATGGCCACCTCGTCAGCCACCTCCTCCGTGTCCTGCACGGCCACCACGGTGCAGTCCAGCAACAGCCAGTTCAAGGTGTCATCCAAGAGACCGCCTTCCCTAGGTAAGGCCCCAGCTCGCGGGAGCCCCAGGATCGGCTGGCTCTGGGTGTCTGCTGCTGCTTCCTGGCCAGAGACGTCAGTGCAGCTGAACAGCCGGGAGTGCTCACACGCCACGAGCGTGTCCTCGGGGCTCTGTTAGGGTTCTCCTGCCACATCACTCTCTCCGCGGCCTTGCCACACTGTCCTGCCTTTCCTCTCTGCGCTTGCTGTTCTGTGACGGGAAGAGGCCGTTGCTCTGTGGGCGGGTGGAGAGGGGCTGATGGGGCCGCTGCCTGGCCTGGATGTGGCCCTGCTGCCACTCGGACCCTTGTGTGGGGGTGGCGTCACTGTCCCACTGGTCAGAGCTCAGGGAGCAGTCAGAGACCAGTGACAGATGGCAGGGGACCTGGGAACGGGATCCAAGAGGCCTCGCCAGCCAAGGTTAGGCCAGCGTGAGCATCAGAGGTGACAGAGTGGGTTGTGGCACACAGCCCAGTCAGGGTCCCCGAGGCGCTCGAGGCGGGGCGGGAGAGCTCTTCGCCAGAGACGCTGGCCACTGCCACACGTTTGCAGGGACCACGGCCAGGCAGCGTCGTCAGTGGGGGTGGGGACACTGGGTGCCAGTTCGGGGAGTGCGGCACCCCTGGGCAGCCGGCAGATGACCAAGGAAGATAAGGTGCCCGTCACTGCAGGCGTCTGGCCAGCCGCCCTTGCACAGCTGACCACATGTAGCCTCACCGACAGGAGCGAGCATGTTCGGTGCCTCCTGTGCAGTCGGGTGGGAAGAGCCCGCAGAACTGCAACCCTGCAAAGTTCATGCCTGAAGCATCTCAGACAAATCTAACACGAGATTATAAATCCAAAATTGTGGACAGCTGGCCTGGGGTGACAAAATGTCAGGGTTGTGGAAGGAAAAAAGAAAGTTTAAAAGAGGTGGGTTGTGGGGGGAAGCTGCACGGGACACGTGGGGAGACAGGAGGAGTGCACCAGCCGAGACACCACATCGACGTTAATGTCCCGTGTGGCGAAAACAGCGAAGTGTGCGCATCCTAGGGGTCCAGGCTGGAGCGTTTAGGAGTGAGTGAGTGCAGCTAGCTTCCAAATGTTGAGCCAAAAACAAGTGTGAGTGTGAGAAAGAAATAAAGTAAATGTAATGAAATATGAAATCGGGATGAATCCAGGTGAAGGGTGCGTGCGTGTTCTTGGTACGATACCTTCAGGTTGTCTGAGATTCGAACATTTTCAGACCACGAGCTGGTGAAAGAGTTTTAAGTCGGGAGCGTGAAAGTCTCCTGCCTGGGCTGTTGCAGTGACTCCCGTGTGTCTGACGCAGGTGAGGTCTTCCATGGCATCAACAAGGAGGACCACAGGCACGGGGTGCCAGCCGCCCCCAGGAACAGCCCCACCGGTTTGGCACCGCTGCCCGCTCTCGCCCCCGCCGCCCTCCCGCCAGCCTCCACGCCTCACCTTGCAAATCTTGCAGCCCCATCCTTCCCCAAAACTGCCACCACCTCTCCCGGGTTTGTGGATTCGCGCAAGACCTTCTGCCCTGCTCCCGTGGCACCCCCGCCCCCCACCACAGACAGCTCCATGAGCGCACCTCCCAGCGTCTGCAGGTGAGCCGGGCCCTGCTGGGGAAGGCTGGGAGCACTGTGGGTGTGGGCGCCACGCCTGGGTCCGTGCAGCGGGGCGGGGGCTCCAGTCTCGGCCCCAGCTCTGTGGAGCCAGGCCGCCGCGGACTGCACTCTGACCACCACCAGACCACCAGCCGCGTCAGTCGGGGGCGGGCCTGGGTGTTTGGAGTCATATTTGTTTTACATTGATCAAAAAGCAACACAGTGAGCACTTAGCAGGGGTTTTTTTTAAGGCAGTTTTTGTTACTTTGGGACTCCCTCTTAGGAGCCCCCAGGATGGAGCGGCGGTGGGAGGGACAGTGGAGGGACCACGTGCTGACAGCCCCCAGGTCTGCTCGCGGTCGCCGGGGGGCCGGTCGGGAGGACGTGTCACCCCGGGTGGGGGGCTGCTTGCTGATGGTGCCTGCGCGGTGTGCGCTTTTGCAGTGACCCCGACTGCGAGGGGCACCGCTGCGAGAACGGTGTCTACGACCCGCAGCAGGACGACGGGGACGAGAGCGCGGACGAGGACAGCTGCTCCGAGCACAGCTCCAGCACCTCGACCTCCACCAACCAGAAGGAGGGCAAGTACTGCGACTGCTGCTACTGTGAGTTCTTCGGGCACGGCGGGGTAAGTGCCGGCCTCGGCGCCGTGGGGCCTCGGCGGGGC